CACGGGGCCGCTTCGTGCCGCCGTGCCGCCGCGCCGCGCTGCCTGGCTATTGATTTTAAGTCGGGGCAGCCGACGCAGGCGGCCGTCAGTTATGCGCTGTATATATATGTATCTAGTATAGCCAACCTAGATAACTTTGGCATGGCCCAAGAGTGTACAACTATAAGTATCTATCGCATACAGCCCATAGACACAGCCATAGCCATAGCCATAGCCTGCCTGGCTGCAGTTCGCGAGCTTAGCCAAGGAGCCAAAAATAAAGATTCATTTTGGCACTGGGCCAATATTCCAATGCACATTTGCAAAAGGGATGAAAGAGCGGGGTGGTTGGGGTGGTTGGGTGGTGGCAGTGCTGCAGGCTAAAATGAAAAGTGAAATGTTGCCATGCAAAGTGCAAAGAACAAGAGCATCCCATCTATATCTATATCTATATATATTGTATATGTATGTACTTGCCAGAGAGCAGACATTTATTAGTTTGCTGCCCCGTAAAAGCAAGTCGGGAAGTGCTCTATAAATATGGCCAAAATGCACTCAACTGACAAATTTATGGCCAACTGCATAACTCATCTATTGTCCCACCTCTGACCCATTCTCTCCCACCCCCCCACCCCTCTACCCTTCTTTTCTGTGGCACATTGAATGCACACTTGTGTGTCACTTCGCTTTGCCACTTATTACATCACCGAGAAGGCAGAAACGACACGATACGGATAGACTTTGCTTGAGGCCTTTACCGATTTGGGTCAACCTGAGCCTGCCAACAAATCTTCACAGATACACGGACAGACACACACACACACAGCGACACTAACACTCTTTGGTATCAGGTTTTGTCGATGAGTTTATGCGAGTATAGTCCTAGTCGAAGTCACTTTTGTTGTTCTTGGCCAAACAAAAGTTCTTTAAACTGCATGAGGGGAAAGTTAGTCAGAACATTAAAGATTTAAATGTGTCAGGGCGGAGTTAGGATCAATGGATACGACCCACCCTTCGAAACACACACATTCAGCTTAATTTCCACCGCCTTTCGTTGGTCTCTGACATTTCTCTCTATCGCCAATCCATTCTCTTTGGTCTCTAACGCAATCCCCAGTTGATCTTTCGGTCATTCAAATATACATATACTCATTATCTATCACGCCTTTGGCGCGTGACTCAGTTTTGTTGTTGTGCTTAATTTTAGACAAAATCCCCATAAAAAACAAAACAAAAAACCAAACGCCTTATGCTTCCACATCAGTCGTCATTGGTTAGTTGCGTCAATTGTTTGTATTTATAAATGACGCTGGGGCAAAGGCAAAGCACGTAAATGCTGCCAGAACACATTTGGAATACATGGAATTTCTTTTTTTTGAGCTAATCGCGAGCACACTTCAATATCGCTGTAACTGCGACTGTTGCTAAGCGAGCCCTGCTCACTTGAAATAACCGAAAAATCATTCATAAAATTTTGGGGAAGTGAAATATTTTGCCAGTCAGTTGTCCGCTGTCCCGTCTGTCTGCCTGTATTCATGTCTGGTCGTTGTTGTTGTTTCCCCCGTCTGCGTCTGCAGATAAAGCACGGAATAGCAAACATTCCACTTTTGGTATTACGTATACGCAACGTTCTCCATGCGATATGCTTTTCTTCGCTGTACTTTTTGCGCGTTCCTCAGACTGTTGCGTGTTCGCGCGCGTTCGTTAGCTTCTACGAGTCTACCTACATATTGCTACATATATACAGATATATACATATGTATAAATATATATTGTATATTTCAGTGGGTATGTGTCTGTGTCTGTGTGTCTGCTTAGCAGATAATAAGTGCCAGAGTCCGCGTGCGTGTTGGTGACTCGCTCGAGCTGATCATGCGACCTACCAACTTGTTTAAAAACGAAGGCAGGGGGAAACACATTCTTTCTAATGAATACTTTTCATTGAGTGTATGTGTTGTATATTGTTGGAGAGTTTATGTATTAAATTAGAGAGGAATACGGCAGAAAGGGCATCTCAACTTCGAACGGGAATATTCTGTTTCTCATTGCCCCCCAGTGTCATACCAGTGTCTGTGTCTTGTTTTGCATTCGCATTTGCAATTGGCAAATATTTTTTTGGCCAAGTCAAACTGTAATTTATTTAAGTAGCGCTTTGGGCCACTTCCGGTGACGACAACACTTCTCCGAAACTTCGTTGGCAGTGGCTGCTTTGATGACCCAGATAGTGGAAGTAAACGTGTTGGTCGACACATACAGAAGGGGGAGATGCGGCACGGGTTGGGTTCATAAAGTGCTAATGAAAAATGCTCAGCATTTGCCTAATGAAATTATAACTGAGCCACTAAGTGCGCCATAAAGAGCAGCAAAAAAGCGTAGGATAGGGGTAAGGGTAGGGGTAGGATAGAAGTGGCGTACTGATGTTTTGGGGCATTTTAGAAATTTTCGTGGCACTGTCGGCAGGTCGAGCATGTAGCCCATTTAACGCACATAGAAACCAAACCAAACCAAACCAACCCAACCAACAATTGGACAAGCACATGGAACCGCATTTTGTTGCTTTATTTATTTAACGCTTTATAAGCTCATGAGCTAGCTTTTCATTTATCGATACAGCTAAGCACTCACACAGCACAGCACTCACACACGCACACACCACACACACACAGCACTCACACAGCGACAGTAATGAACAATAATTTATTTAATTGACCGAGCTCTTGTTCTTTCGAAATTAGAACACAACACACACACACACACACACACACACACACCCAGACCCAGACACAGACCCGGAGAGAATCTCGCACTCTGTTTGCTGGCCTGGCACGCGATTAAAAACTAAATGGCTTACACATACTCGTAGTATTATGAATTTTATAAGCAGCAACTTTTTTATTGGCTGTCAGTCTTTCCACGCTATATGGCACTCTTTCGTACGACAAAGCTTAGTCCAAATTCTCGTACTCGTACCACAGATGACGCATCACGTATACGCAGCGCAGCGTGTTGCAACAAACATGGTTTCAACAGGGGTTTTTAATTGCGAAAGTGCTGTTACTTTACCGGGTCCAAAAATATGGATTTTGTTTCTTTAATTTGCTGCTTTTCTTTTTCTACTTTTTGCCGTTTCTTTTTGGGTTTTTTTTTTGTTGTCTACTTTTTCTTTTTTCGTTAATTTGAGCCCAATGCCTACTCAATGTTTGGCCTCGTTTTGGATTTATTTTGCCACACCCCGAGTCGAGTAAAAAGCAGCCATGCAAGTCGAGATCGAAGGCTGCGTTTGGCAGAATACAAAACGAATCTTTGCTCCAAATAACATTTGGAACTGTTCGGATGGGCAGGGTGAATAAATGGTCACCCTCATCAAACTTACTGTGGGGAGTCCCCCACATACCGACTGGGAATTACCCTTTCAATTCCCCTCATTGGTACGGTGTCTGCACTTTATTTCAGTTTATAATCGTCTCTCCTATCTTATCTCCTGGGCAGGCAAGCGGTACGAGGTACGATGTGGGAAGCCCCATTCAGGTTTTAATTTGTTAATTTCCGCATGGATTTTACCGGTGACTGATGGGCCGGGCCGAACATGCTCAGTGCAAACTGATGCCAGAACAAACGACATTTTGTGACATACAAATGACTTGTATAACCGATCGGGGGATCGCCAATCAGCGATCCGCATCGACCCACTTTCAGCACCAACACCTCCATCACCATCAGCACCATCAGCACTGGGGCCTTAGTTTGTAATCATTATCGGCTCCGCACCTTGGCACCTGCGATTGCGGCTTATCACTCATTTTTGAGGGGGCTGGCTGACATGGATTCCATTTTAGAGGGGTGGGAGCTGATCGCACAGCACAGCAATCGCTGCTGGTTCATTGCACCTTCTCGTTGCCCCCACATGTTCAGCTTTATTCCGCATGAGTTTCAGTTTCAGTTTGAGTTTGGTTTAGTTATGGATGTTATTCTTTGTATGACGTTTTCTGTTCCCTCGTTTCCCTTCTTCCATTTTTGTTTTTGATTTTGTTCTGCCAAATCCAGTAACAGCCGCAGGAAAATCCACTGACTGCCAGAGTCGCTGCCACGCCCACGCCCACGCCCATGCTCAATGAAACTGCCTCTGAAAACGCGATGTCGCGACCGCGACGGGCTCCACATACATTTTGTATTCTGTTTCAGTTTAAAACAAACCAATTTAACGATAAACCGATATATATATATGCGACAACGATAAACGATTAACTGAACATAGCAAAGCATCCTTTGAATGTTTTGGGTTGCGTGTCAGGAGTGCATTTGCACTGAAACATTCTGAAGCCTGTAAATGCACTATCTGGTACGACATTCCAGAACGTAAAATCTTCCCGAATACAAGAAAATGCGAATAACAAAATGAAATATGCAATTTTTGTGATAGTGTGATACAATTTCTCAAAACTGATTTATATTAATTAAAAACTAGAAATAATTAAGTTACTGTAAGAGATACGCATTATATTTGTAAGAGATTTTCAATTCAATAAATAAATGAAATAAAATAAAAACGAATTATCTTCCATGAAGAGCTTGTTTATTATATACAAATACATATATACTCGTACATACTTTGTGGTTTTATTTTACTTAAGGGGAAGTTTTGCATTTAGCGAGCAAGCAACAGTCAAGTCAATCCATCTACAGATTTAGCTCCATATATTATAAGGCCTTCATCTGCAACTGCTTTGAACTATGACGCTTAGTCAAGCTTTCGATGACCTTGAATACTCCGACTCTAATGGGAGCAGCTAGCCTTAATTAACATAATAACCGCACTTTTAAGCAGGTCTTGTGGCATGTGGCAATCAACCTAATAAATATACGTATACGGACCAAAGCTGCCGCAAGCTAAATTGGATGGGAGCATAAATCAGAGCATGGCAGGGCAGGCAAATAGTTTAACAATGCCTCCCCATAGTATTCCAAACATAATCCTTATTTAACGGCTCGATAACTAAAAGCTAATATTGCATATTTTACAGCGAACACAGCAAGAGCTTTCGACCGAAACCCAAAGAACACGCAACGTAGCATAAAAAGCAGCATAGAGGGAAATCCCCCGAAACGACAACCAACCCCCATGCCCACCACCGTTCAACGCAAGCAGCTACCCAACACCAGCCAAAAGATGGCGTACCGAAAAGCTTCGCACCGAACCGCACCGCACCGCAGCGGGTGAGAGGAAAGAGTTTTTCGGTGTTTATCAGTGTGTTCATGTAAATGTTTTTTATATACCCTACCCCCCCCTGTTCAGTTTGAATGCTCTACCGAATTAATCCACCAACAATTCCAAATGAACGAAATTTGAAAATCAGTTTTACCCAAAAATCAAATCCAGAAAATTCAATTGGCTATGCGCTTTGGCAGTGTGGTTAGCTGGTTGTGTAGCCAAAATATTGCCTTTGACCATTCACAGCCACTATCTTCACTGCCGCCGCGACAAGCCATTACAACGTTAAGCAGCATAATCGCGTATTTTTCTGGAAGCCAACGGACTCAAACAAAAACCAAATGCTGTATGGCGGCGAATTCAACGATGTAACAGTAACATAGCATTAGAGATGGGAGCGGTACGAAACCCAGGGCCAGGAATTGTTTATGGTCTTACACAATTTATTTATTTTATCAATATATTTATCAAATATTTAAATTTGTTTTCCTTTTTTTGGTTGGTTCACGCAACGGAGGTTTGTCCAGCCCTGTCCAGGGTGTTGCACGGAGAAACGCACTGCCATGTCCACTGCGAATGCAACTTCATTATCACCCAAGTACCTAAAAATCTTTACGCATCATAACTAACTCCTCCAGCAACTGTAGAGCTAATATATAAAATCGCACAATGTGAAAATCCAACAAAGCATTAGAGAACTGAACCCTAATTCAGTGCACCCTATGAGAATGTTCCAACGTGGTGCCATTCTGACTTTAGCCATAGTTTGTTAATCTGAAAATGGTTTCAGTATAGGACCATGGTGGAACATCTCCAACATGATCCACATGCGACGAGTGATCCGAAGATAATCAAGGCCAGAACGTCTTAAAGAAAAACTCATAAAAATTCGCATGGGTTTTGTTTGATGTTTTGTTGTTGTTGGTTTTATATATATAAATTTTAATTTAATAAAATTTACTTGCTATATTTCTATTCTTTATAAGTTCATCCTCATATAAATAATAATTTTAAATCGCACATTTTTTTTCTCATTAAATTTATATTATTATGTGTTTTGTGTTTATGTTTTATGCAGTTTTTGTTTTGTTTTGTTTTACTCGTATTTAATCTGAATTACACAACATTACTTTTATTTAGCATTAGCTTTATCTTTATCTGTACCGTTATGTTAACCATTATCTCTCCTTCCTCAGATGAATGCTAAAATGTTTTCTTTTGATTTTCTTACATATTATTGACACTGTTCTTTAAATAAATGGAACAATTCCATTCTTCTGTTTTCTTTCTGCTTCTGGTTTCCAGTTGTTTTTTTTTCTTTATGTTCTTAGATGGGTTTTGCATTGTGGTTTATGTTTATGTTTGTATTTGTATTTGCTTTACATTTATTTTTGTTGGCTGCTTTCCATTTGCTTCAACTTCAACTAAGTTTAAATTATGTTAGTGGCTACCATTATTATGGTTTGCTCTAAATGTTTACCACTTCATGTTGATTGTGTTTAATGTTCGGCGCTTGTTTGTGGTTGTTGGTTGCTTGGTGTTTAAATAATTTAAGAGTATTCAATAGAGGACTAAGTTAGTATACGCATTGTAGGTTTGGCAACTAAATTATAAGTATATTCATAAAACAAAATCAAATTCAATGCAATTCCCTCAAAATGTTCGTTTGCATGAGCGAGCGCGTGCATGAGTGTATGTATAAATGTATATTCGTGAGTGTGTGTGTGTATGTGGTGTGTGTGTTAATAATAGTGAATAAATACAACATTATACAAATAAGAGAGGATTTCCTATGTTGTAACGCACAAAAGAAACAATAAAACGCTGCAAAAGCACAACTCTAAGCACTTTTCTTGCAAGCACTCGTCTCCAAAAAATTCCCTTTTGTTTGTCGTGGCCTTAAGCTTGGAGGATGGTTCGTTCGCTGGTTAGCAATTTACACTTGTAAACTAAACAATAATAATACAAAAAAATTATGTTTACAAAAAATGAAGAAACTGCTGGGCGAGTTAGTGTTTTTTTTTTCGCACGAATTATACACAAAAAACTGACGAACTTAACACAATAATTTAACCAAAAACTGAACAGAAAATTGCAATTAAATTGTTCCTTTTTCATTACAATATGCATACAACTAGAGACTTTTCAAGTCGACGAGAGGGAGGCGCTTTAGAAGCTCATCTCCGTCGGCTTTCAATCGATTTTTCCTTTAGCAAAAACTACGCTAATTGCCTGGATTAGAGTTTATGTGAATTTGCCTTTTTGCCTCAATTCGTTTCGCATGATTAAAATTGCTTTTGAATTGGGTTATATTCGTACATAAATATAATTCATTATTCTTTTTGATTGTTATCCGAAGCAACTTTTACTTTCATTTTAAATTATAAGCCTAGCCATGAATTTTATTTAATAATTCTTTTGTGTATAATTCGAACTGTGTGTGGGGGGGTGTGTATGTATATGTGTGTGGGGGTGTGTGTGTGAGTGAGTGTGTTGGTGTGTATGTGTGTGTTAGTATATGCTGTTACAATTATTACATATCTCATGTATATTTATTTTATGATTTATGATTTCCTTTTTAGTTACTCATTTAGTTTCTCTTCTGCAACATGTTGTTAGTAGCGGATCTTGTTGCCTATAGATGTTGTTGTGGTTGTTCTTGTTGTTGGTGTTGTTTCAGTGTCTGTTGTTGGTGTTGTTGCGGTTGTTCGGTAATGAGAAGGCGGCGACGATTTTAACGATATAAACATTAATATTTATTCCTCAGCCCGCTGCGCATACAGCAGCATCGTGTCGATCACACGAACGATGTGCCATTTGTGTTGTTCGTGATTACCCTTTCTCCGCCTAGGACGTGCCGTTGACCAGACCTTCCTTCTTGATGTTCTCCGTCAGCTGCTGCTGCTGCTGTTGGGGCTGCTGCTGCTGTGGGCCGACCTGCTGATCTGTGTGATTGTTGCTGCGGTTTTTGTTGTTTCGGCGCGGTTTCGACTGCTGTTGCTGCTGCTGCAGTGGAGCTATTTGCTGCTGCTGCTGCTGCAACTGCTGCGCTGCCTGGGGCTGCGGTGGTTGTTGTGGCGGCTGCTGCGGCTGTGTGCCCGCCTGCTGTTTGTCGCTATTACGCGATGGATCCTTGGGCTTGCTCGTACCGCTGGCGGTGTTCGCATTGCCGATGCTGCTCTGTTTGCTGTTTTCACCGGCGGCAGCATTCAGCGACGCCTTGCCCGGCTGCGCCGGAGTCTGCTGTGGCAGCTGTTGCGCCTGCTGCTGTTGTGGTTTGATGCTGCTGTTGGCCACCGCACCGTTTGCTGTCAGACCGAAAGGATCCAAGATTACATCAGGCAAGGATTACCATCAAGATTTACTTACTGCTGCTGGGCCCGTTGTTGCTCTTCTGCTTTCTGCGCCTCCTCGAGCTGCCCTCGTACGAAGAGTTGCTGTCTGCTGCGGGAATAAGGACGATGAGTTGTGAGCATTTCGACTATTACTTACGAAATAAACATTGAAATTGAACCAATTGGTTAATTGGTTGATTGTTTCATTTAACCTACCCCTCTCCACGCTGCTCACTTCACGCGTCTCTCGCACCTCCTCGGTGTGATTGTGGTGCTGATAGTCTCTGCCGTTCTGCTGCTCGTTGCGTGGCGGCCGGCGATTGATGCCGCCGCGTCGGTTGTTGCCGGCGCCACGATAGTTGCCAGCGCCGTCACCTGCGCTGCCACCACGATCGTTGTTGTAGCCTCGCTGGTCGCGCTGATGGTCACCACGGGAGTTGTAGTCGTCCTCGTCGCGTCGATTGTTGTGATAACGCTGGTTGAGGCCGCCATTGCCACCAGGACCGCCGCCACCGCGTCCACGTCCACGACCGCGCTGGCCGCCGCCACCGCCGCGCATTGAGCGCACTGACTCAATGTCGCTGCTGTAGCCGCGCTCGGAGCGCCTTGAGACGGGGAAGCTTGTTGTGGAGCCCATGGAGGATTCCTGTATGGCTCGCAGCTGCTGATCGATCTCCATTTTTTCCTGGCGCAGCTGTTCCACTTCCTGGTAGGATCATTTTGAGTGAATATCAAATATCATCCAGCATCCAATCCGCAGCCAATTCAGACACTCACCTTCAGATGCGACAGATGATACTCCAGCAGCACTTTGGCATTCGCAATGCTCTCCACGGTGCCAATGAACACAAAGGGTACATGCGCCGGCGCACGGGGGATGTTCTGATCCTGCTCGTCATCGCCAGCGATCTGTGTGTGGATCGACGAAGGGCGTGGGACAGATTAGGCCTGGGGCTCTTTGCTAGCGTACAATACTCACAGCACTCACCTTGATTCGAAACACGCCGCTCTTGTCCACAATCTCCTGAATGATGCGGCCATTCTTGCCGATTACCTTGCCCACCAGCTCCCTGGGCACCTGAAAGAACTCCTCGGCATACTCGAGCATGGCGCGTGCCCGCTGCACTGACTCCTCGGTCTCGCCACTGATCTTGAATGTGCAGGACTTCTCCTCCAGCTCGATATTGGTGACGCCGACCAGCGTGCGTGCCGCCTGTATATTCGAGCCATGCGAACCAATGGCCAGGCCCATGAGATCGTCGCGCACTCGGAATTCCTCAACATAATTCCTACAACAATTTACCAGTGTAGATAGAAAACGGAGCCACCAAATGTGTGGTTGCAAGCAGGATACTTACCCACGGCTCATCAGTTTAGTCGTTTCGAGCTGACGGGCAGCTTCTTCAGTCCTTTTCAAGAGCATAACCTGAACGGGAGGAACACAGAAGGCAGAGAGGGCATAAATTTAGTGCAAGTTTAGGGAGAGGAGGATGCGATGCGAGGGGCGAACGTACCTTCTGTGAGAGATTACGAAAATGCATATCCTTGAGCATGCTGGCACGCTTCTGAGTGTGCTCAAATTTTGACAGGACAATCAGGGCGGTCAGGTCGCGGTTGTAGTTGCAGACGCCGGCATCGATTGTGCGCTGAAACTCCTTGTGTATGCCATCCTTCTGGGCTCTGCAAAATGGACAAGGGCAAATGGGAAAATGGCACACTATATAGTTGGATATATTTGCTTGGACACATTTGCGATGTTTACTCACTCTTCGCGCAACTCTTCGGGAACGGGCAGCGTGAACTGGTAGAACGACTTGGCTGTGATTGGGGGATTTGAGTTTTTGGCGCGCAGTCGCCCCAGTTCACAGATCTCGGTGTAGGGCGTCTCGAAACCAATGTAGGCCACCGCACAGATGTCCGCTTTGAGCATTTTGATGATGGCCACCCACCAGCCGCAGGTCTCGCGCTCGTTTGTGCGCGTAAACACCTCCACCTCCATGCCCTCCTCAAAGGTGGGCGCCGCCACCTCAACGGTCTCCTCTGGGGGCAGGCGTACGCTCACAAACGGATACTTCCTCACTTCGGTCACGCTGCAATCGGTTAACAATCGGTTGGTTGGTTGGTATGTGTGTGTGTGTTGTGTGAGACCAAAAGAAACCTCATTTAATTAAAATGCATTTCCCAAATTATGAAGAGAATCCGCCGACAGGTGTTTGCCAACGCCGGCGGAGGCTGCAAGCAGCAGCAAGCAGGCACCACGCAGCATCAGCAGCTGCCTTGGCTCTGGCTGCTGCCACTGGCAGAGGGCCAAGCGAGAGCAAGCAGCAAGCAGCAAACAGCAGCAACAACAACTGTGTGAACAAGAAGCATTGTGGGGGTGGCCGGCAGTACGTGTCCCGAGTCCCGCCACGAGACACAGATCTCAGATCGGAAATGCCACACAGAAGACGTCGGACAGGATGGTGGTGCACCTAATTTTAGATCCAGCTGCTCTCGGATCGAGTGAATCTCAGGCGGGAAGATGCGACGATGGAACATGGAGGACAACAACGAAATTAAACCCAAAACCCAAAAAACCGAACAACTTTCGTTCCAAAAATGTCACAAGAAATGCATTGCTTAAAGAACTCTGAAAGAACCAGGAAAACTATCCCTTGCAGAACGATATTTGTATACACTTTCTATAAGAATTAATCATACGTTTTAATCTAATCTAGAATGCGTAGAAATTGTGTTGCCCCTCTATATCTTTAATCCTTCATTATAGCTTAGACTTAAACACTTTCCTCTCTCTTCTATCGTTACAAACTGCATGAAGGGAGTCTCATAACCAGATTGGAAATAAATAAATATATATAAATGGTTTCTTTCCGCGGTTAAAAATAGTTTCGCCTTTGACGCTGGCCGAGGCGGCAGCAGCGGCGCTGCTTAGTGGCATTTGTCGCTCGCACTTGACAGTTCTGGCAGAGACGGCCTGGCCTGCCATACACCGCTCTTGCCGCCTGCCTGCCTGCCTTCTGGCCATTTGCTCTCTCTCTGCCACACACTACACAGTTATTGCCTTTGAAAAGCTGTCAGAGTGGGGCGGACAGTGGTGGACAGTCGTGCATCGCCTTGGACAGTCATTCAGTCAGTCAGTCTGTCTGTCTGTCGTCAGTCAGCAGGTTTGTCGCCGCCAAGGAGCCTACAGCCTACAGTGCGGCGTTTAACAAATTGCGACAAATTAAACATTTGCCAGACTGCAGGGAATGGTGGATGGCAGGAACAGGGCCGGACAGGGCAGGGCAGGACCGAGCAACATACTCGCAAATGATGCGTGGCCGGCATCTCTAATTTCTAATTTCGATGCCAAAAAGACGACCCTCAGGCGTTGTTGCTCCTGTTGCCTCGCTCTGATTGTATTAATTGTTGCAAATTAGTTGGAAAATACATTTTACAAATTTCGCTCGAGCATTCGCACTCAGTTGGAGGTTGGAGTTGTTTTCGACTAACTTACCCATCCACATCCACAAAGATGCCATCATCGGCGACAGCTGTCACATGGCCCTGTTTTTGTTGCATTCACATTTGCAGGTGTTGTAGTTGTTTTTGTTGTTGTTGTTGGTTGTTGCATTGACGTAGCCGGGAATGAAGGAAACACAACAACGTAGACGACACAGGGCGGCGGGCACAGGCAGGGCAGGGCACGAGGAAAAACAGAGAGAAAAATGTGTGTCATTAATGTGGCCAATGCCTATGATATTTTTCATTTAGCTATATATAAATGATATTTTTATGATTACCCCCCGACCGAACGTAAACATTAACAATGTAAGATTGGGAAATTCCCCACATTTCACCGAGCACTACCATCCACAAATTTCATATACATATATTCTCTCATGTTTTCTAGAAATTATACATTGCTAGAACTCCAAGATCTGTCCTACATCTTTGCTGACGATGATCTTTTCTTTTGTCTCGATGATGCTGGCTTATCAATAGAGTCCTGCTTTGCATATTTTTTGTTGTTTGTTTACGAATCATCGGATCCAAGCAAAATACAATTGCGAGTCGAGTTTCAGAACATTTCGAAAACGAAACCGGCCTCAGAGATTTGCAGAACCAACATAAATCAATTGCAGATCTCGTGCCACAGAAAGGGGAAATCCATCAAATTCGAATACAACTAAATCGCGTCAATGGGGCAGCGCAGTAAGCAGCGCTGCCAACGCTATCACCCCCACGCTGCGCGGCAAGCAGCGGCGTCAGCATCGCTGTGCACTGGTGTGCGTGGTGAGGCGATGATGTCGAGAGACTCCACTCAACAAATGTTGCTGTTATTTATAGAAATAAAGCTAAAATTCACGAAATTAGAAACTGAGGCGGCCGCCATGGGGCAGGGCGCCCGAAACTCCCTTTCCACACGGGGAACAGGCACTATCCCACCCTCACCATCACCCTCACCTTGTAGTAGGCGCCATTTTCGAGCCGGACTTCTACCAATAGATCTTCCATGCTGCTGCTCCTGATGGTATCACTAGTGAAGCAGTGCTTCGGGTTATCTTGTTATCCTGATGTCCTTCCCGACTGCACCTCCTCCGGCACTCTCACGCACGGCTTATCCTAGCCGAATGCAGTTTGCTGTGTTCCCGTTTCCCGCTCCTTCTTTTTGTGGCTGCCTTTTGGGTGTTAGTGACGATGACGGTGACAGTTCTCGGTTGCAGATGAATAAATTCTTGAAGTTTATCCTCTCCTGTTGACAATTCCTGTTTCTGGATGCTTCTACTACTTTGTAATCAGTCTTTTCGCTTGCTTCTGCGGAGGTTCCTGGAAATTGAATGCAATTAACACAGGAGCGCAACAATGGAAACAAAATTGACAGATATTTTGATTGTGTATGCATATTGACAAATGCCGCATGATAGCATGGCAATCAAAAAGTTTCACAGTTTTTGAAGTTATTTTGGGGCCAGCGCCAGAAATTCCTGGCTAAACAAAATGCAGCGACGTCGGCAGCACAGCACGCTTTTGCCGGCAGCGCAGCGGCGGAGTGCTTCCTCTTCCTCTTTGTCTTTCTTTTGTGTCTTCCACACCACCTTAAAAAAGCGTGTGCGGCGCGCTCTCCCTCTCACGCACACACACCACCACAGCGGCAGAGCAGCAGCCGCCGCCGAAATGTTTCGTTCGTTCACACTGATGAGCACGCTTTTCCAATAAGAATTTCACATACACACCACACACACGCACCGCACACACCCCTCCACGACACATGCCGATTTTACATATCAAATTTACACATAATTCCACTCCAAAACTTTAACTGATACCCTGGGATGGCGGTGTAAATTCTATTTTGCTATATTATCACTTCGTTGCGTAGCCGTTTTTTCATCTTTCAGCTGCTCCCGCTCCCTTTTGCCCACACACATTCATATTCGCCGCAGCCGCTGCTTCTACTTCTGCCGCCGACGTCGCCGCCGCTGTGCAAAATTTTTTCGCTTTTCGGTTCTTGCTAAATTTTCGAATTGCCCAAAGCGGCTGCAATACGACAAATGCTGTAAAGATTTGTTAACTTACGGCTGCCCGGCACTTTTATCCCTTGACTTCGACTGGCAAATCACTTTAAATGTAGCTATAAACTTTTGAAAATAGAAATATAACGCGTGCAGTGCTGCTTCAAATTTTTTTTCGGCTGCGCTGCGTTCTCTTCGTTTTTGCTTTACACCTCTTTCGCAGCGTTTGCATGTGACCGAAACTGAAATTTAAAAAAATACCACACAAAAATTCGTATTTTCAATGTGACAGGAAACTGAAAAAATCAAAATACCAAAACTGCAGCATTTGTTGCTTGGTGAGTTCGATAAGACTTATCGCACTAATATATCGATATATTAAATGGTGGAAATATTTTAGGCGCAGCATCGGTTGCATTTTCAAAATTTAAATAAAATAAAATTATGCGGGAAAAATATGAAGCTGAACAAATAAGGAACTAAAACCGTTTTTATTGATGTACATATTTTATAGCCTACATATATGCATATTCCTGATTTGTATTAATAGCCATTTCGTATCTGTCTGCCCGTCCGTCTGTCTGTGATCTTATTCTGATTGATTTTAACTGAAATTGCTCGCTTTGCGTCCCTAATTTAACAACGTAATTGAATTGTTCACCCCCTTGGGGCATCTCATAAAATAAAATCACATGTTCTCCGTTCGCCGCACTTCAATTGATTTCAATTCGATTTTAATTTGCAAATATTGCCATTTGGCGCCACCGATTGACACTTGTTCAACAAAACGGGAACACACACATACATATGTATGTATGTATGCTCGTTGGCCCTTTGCCGCTTAATGTAATTGTAACGAGTTTTGAGGTCAATCATTTGCACAATTTGTCACACGGGCTGGGGCGGTTCATTCATGGTTCATTCATACACCCACCCCACGCCCCATCCAATCCAATCCAATCGCGTGACGTTGCCGGGCCTTTAGTCAACGCGCTTGTTGAATTTGCGTTTCGTTTCTGTTGATGTGTTTTTTCGCCTATTCATAAAATGCATTCACACACTCAGCTGATGGTGAATGCCTGATAAAAGCGCGGTAGTAAAAGGTGCAGTGCAGTGCTGTCTATTTATAGCCCCATTATATTTGGGTGCACATTTGGGATCGGGTCGGAGTTAACACACAGAAAACGAAAGACCTGCGTTCGACAACATGCAATATTCCTATTTGTTAAGCGACTATACTTATCCATCAACAAAATATCAAACAAAGTGCAACAATTTCATGGCCACAAACCATATTGGAAGCATTAAATCTTTAAGGACTAGCTATGCCCTCTTGTATATACATATATCTGCTACTGGCACACCCTGTAAACGAGGATTCCAGTTGGAAAGCAACTCAGAGAAGGAAGCAAAACACTAAACAAGTCCCTCAATGAAATTCTGCACAAGATCGTTCGCTGGCTGATCATCTGCAGACAGAGACAACAATCAAATGCAAATAATGAGCAAATAATAAAAGAATGTTTTCTATCGAAAGTAAAAAGCCCGGCCTAACCTTACCATCAGCTAATGCCCCTTGTGGTCCAGTCCAATCGGCAAGTGAGGCATATGTAGTTTATGGCCCATAAGAGGCAATGATAGGCAATGGACTTTGATTGCAAAACAAATGTTTGCTAAGAAGGCATTCCCCCGACACCATGCTAAAAATATGTTTAATGAACAGAATCAATCGCCGAGTCAATATACACCTGCTGTCAAAATAATGGAACAGATTCCAGATATAGGGAACTTAGCAGGTTAATAATCTATGTAATCTATGTACATATTCGTACATTTAATGGATACCGGAATATATGCAGAGATTCATAGAGAATAAATCTTCACAGAAATCTTTAACCCAACTAAACTTTTCTTATGCCCTTACGCCCTTGGATAGCTATAGTAGCTACAGCTACAGGGTATCAAGATCTGTGATTCTGATAGTCATAAATTGCCATTTGCGCTGACAGTAATTACTGTCAAGAGGCGATTTGTTGCGGAAATGGAAATGCATTCCGCTTTTCTGCCCTCTCACTCACCCTTAAAAACACCCACCCCAACCACTAATCCGTCTCTCTCTGTCATTCTGTCTCCTTGTGCAGCTGCCGTTTGACATTGACTTTTGTTTTGCCATTTGGCACATTAACTGGCACACTCTAATGACGTCGCGACGTCGAATGGCCAACAAAAGACAGCAACATTAGCGACGACAGCAGCAGCTGTGACATTGCCTCTCCCTTGCTCGCGCACACGGCAGGCAGGCACTGCAATTGCTATCAACAAGAATTTGTCTGTTCAATTAGCATTTGTCTCTCAGCTCAGCTCTCTCTCTCTCTCGCTCTCAAATGCACATGGGTGCAACAATTTGGCTGCTGCTCAGCACGGCACACTTAATTAATATTAATTCTAATTCCAATTTCAATTCAATTAAAATTTATCCTCAGAACTGTGTCAAAATGATTTGTTCGATCTGGAGATTTGTGTGATAAATGTAAACGTCATTTCCTGCTGCTTTTCACTCTCTCCCACATCTGCAGGTGTGTGTGTGTGTGTGTTGAGAGCGTGCGACGTGTGCCATTTCTACTCTCTCAGCTGTCAGGCAGCTCTCCTTTATGTTCCATGCCGTTTACCGTTAGCTGAGAAAATATTCCATCTCCCGTAAAGTGGTTTAAAATTACGCAAATGTTGGCTTCAGGATCAATTCTTTATGTTGCTGGGCAGCAGAGCAATCCGCACCCGCACTCTGTTATTGCCGAGCAAGGGACCACCACAAGTCTGTTGATTCTACCTACAGCATTCAAGGCAACTCTGAGCAACGAAATCCCGCCTAGACCTCAGAACATGTTCTACCTGCTTATCAATTAATCAGCTTCTAAACCGCGACATTGCCTCCGTCGTTGACTGCGGGAGCTTAGCGCCTTGTTCGGGGACTGCCATTTCGGCACGGCTGATTTAGCTACTATGTATTTTGCATTGCTGCTGTAAGTTGTTGCTGCCGCTGCTGCAGCTGCTGCTTCGGTGTGGGTTCGTTGTCGTGTTCTCGGGCTGGCAACGGCAACGGGCAAACCGTTAAAATCTGCTCCATTTTATTGTCAGTTTTATCGGGCGAGAGCGGAAAACGGAAAACCTAAAACCCAAAAAAAAAATAAAGAGCACACCAACCTGAGTATGCTCGTACGAGTATCGTTGCCATAACTCAATTCAATTCGCTCGCTTTCGGGTGTGTGAGTGCACATGACTATGTCGCGTGTGTTTGTGTGTGTGATTTAAGTGTGTGGGAGAGTGGGTGTGTGTGTGTGCCTGTATATGTGTGCAGTTGCCCGATGCTCACATCGCATTTCAGTAATCATTCTGTGCCTGACCGCTCCGCTGCGGGTTCTGTTCTTGGCCGCCCATCCCGAGGTTCCGTTATAAAAGACGCGTGCCGTGCCACACATTGATGGAGTTCTCTTCGAGACCGCAAAGGTTCAGTGTCCTGCCTGGCAGCCTCTAAAAAAAAAATAACCCAACAAAAAAATTGCAAGTGAAACTAAAATAACTGAAAGAAAGCTGAAGAGTGTCCATTGAAGGAGCAGAGCATTTAAAGTGAAATTACTGCTAATAATAATATTTAACACAATCCAAGCCGGGAAAATGCATTTCGTTACCTTCTCGATACTAGGTAAATTTCTAACAATTTCTATTTTAATTTCTTGTGTGCTAAACACCTGTGAAACATTCAATGGGAATCGAATGGAGTCGCCGGATTTCTCACGGCAGTGATTAAACATACGAGTACATAGTACCCAGAGTCAGCCCGACTTCCCTTTAAATCGGTGTTCCAATCGGCAAATGCCATTGATTGATTGCATTCTTTAACTTATGGACATCGAAAATGTCACGTCTTTGCTTGGATTCCACATTCATCCACACTCAAATTGTAGCTGCTGCCATTCCTGCCATTTGTTCTGTAATTATTTCGATCATTTGAGTTGATAAGATGCCAGAGACAAATGTGCCTGTGATACTTGTACGAGTAGTATTCCACATTTGAGATCGTAAATTACAACTAAACCTTTTATGCCTTTTATGCTTGACAATAGATCGTAGACGTCACTTTGTGTGTGGAATCCCAGACTAGGGGAAGCGCTCATTGCCATAGGAAGTACTTAGAAAGATCAGCTGGTTGATTTGGTTGTTTTTTTGGTATCATTCAAACTTTGAATTTCAAAGTATTGTTACTGTTGTTTGTCATGTTCGATTGGCTCTTTACCAATAAAATTGTGAATCATCATACCCGAAATCAGTCCCATAGGGGCAAATAGGTGAATCATCAGCAAATAGGCCAAGAAGAAAGGTCAGGAATGTGCTTTAGGGCTCGTAAATTGCAAATCAAACAAATATTTATTTTTTACACTTACTAGAATAATTAGGGAAAGGGTTCAAATTTCCACTGCACACACATTCAGTTAAGTAACGCCAAAGATATTCACTACTCGAAATCTGTGTCATACTCCTCATGTAATTCGATACCATTTGGGGATTTTTCCAAGTGATTAATGTTGCCCTTGTCCAATCATTTGAACATGTAATATAGCGAGCCTATCAAATAACTCGAAGCACAGCACATCCAGAGCACTTGAGAAGAGAAGTACTTTGGACAATGGATCACGCGCACAGCCGAGCAGATATCACAATAAGAGCCAATCTATTGCCGGCTTGTTTGCCTTTTTTTGAGGGGTGCGGGCCTTTTCGGAAAATAACCATTTAATTCGCTTAACACCCCGATAGATAGCAGTGACACAGACAGAGACAGACAAACACTCGACGCATCACAGCGGTCATCCCGTACGATGGGGTCGCCGAAAGTTAAATATTTGTACACGCCGTGGGGGGGGTGGGGGGTAGTAAGTGTAAATTTATAGCTGAGGGAAAAAACTGCTGACCTAATCGAGATAATCGAAAGCTGGGCTATAAACTAGACGTACTAGAAGTAGCTTCAAGAAATCATCGATAAGATGCACTGACTGTAGATTTACCACTTTGATTAGCGAATCTGAAGAGAGCGAAGAAAGTGACCGTCAGGGGTCCGAGTCTGAGAGGTGCAATGAATATTAAACGATTAACTGCCAATTAGCCACATTCGGTTTATGGATCTCTGAGCGATTCGATTAATGCCTAATCGATCCACTGAAGCACAATAACATGGCGCCCCAGCCGCGCACTCCCTATCGCTTTGTGTAGCTGTGCGTCAGCTAACCTCTGATTAGCTGCGATTTCTGTCAAAGATATATGACAGTCATATGTCGGCGAGTGATTAAATATATATAAATACACTTGCTACTTCATGCTACCACTGATTCTGGCTTCTGGCTTCTGACTTCTGTTTTCTGTCACAGTGGTTGGTTGCCTGGGTCTGATTGGGGTTACCCCTCTTTTTGTGACGCGGATCCGACTCTGTGTACACTCCCTCCAGATGGGCTCCATTTATTTCCATCGGCAGCCACTGAAGCGTTCTGCTTGGCGTTTGCTCTCCATTGTCTGGCCGATCGAAAGGGAAACTGCAATTTGCAGTGCGTGCATATCATTTCGCTTTGGTGATAGCCGCCGCTTCCTACTTGATACTCGCGTACACTGTATGCTGATGATGCGACTGAACTTTTGTTTACAAAGATCTTTGGCCTGTGCCGGCGGCGCTCACTATCTGCGCTGTTTGTTCTCAACACTTTAATCAACTTCCTTTCGCAGTCTTTCCCCATGCACTCTGCAGGGGCCCAAAGTCCAGTCAACTGCCTTTGCCTTATGGATGGAAAATTTTTCAGCCTGCTCTCACAATCGATCATCCAATCCATGCACCAAACCCTAAAGCAATCACAACAAAAGTTTATGGTAACCAATCCAGACAAAACGTCAGAATGTATTATGTGCTCAGCCACAGTCACAGTCACCCGGCAACAGATTAGATTATTTTCTGTTTTACATGGGGTGGAGTTCTTCTTCAAAAAGAGCGGGGATTTCTCAATTCTCAGAAGATTAGTCAGATAGTTATAGCATAAAAATAATCTTAAGTCCATTGCAGAGGCCTCAATAGATAAATAAATAAATTGTATTTGCAGGAGAACTCCCTCCAATCGATTCCAATTGTCTTCATTCACATGACCAGCGGTATATCAGAGAGCTTATCGCAGTCTTCACACGCCTCCCTATACGATATAATAATGACAATTGAATATAAAACTCTGCGCACTCCCGAAATTCTTTATCGGTGGTGGGGAATATATATCTTTGATTACCTTTATAAAATTCAGTCTGGAAAATCACTGAGTGCTCTAAATATCATAGCGAACGTGGGGGGATCTCAATACCGCAGTGATTTGACAGAAACACAGAAACACGAGCAGAGTCACAGCCACAGAGCCACAGCCAAGAGTCTTTATCGCCTCTGCTGAGCTATGCGAAATCGTTTCAATTATATTTTAGCTGACACGGCCGAAATGGCCATGTCATAATAAACAGCCGAGACAAGTCAGGGTAATGCCACACAGCCACTTGACGACCGGCACATAACGAACAGCAGCAGCCAGAGAGTGCAACATGATGCAGAATTCCGATTCTATTCCAGTCTCGAATCTCGAGTGGAGGAGCTATTTTCACTTGACGCTCTCGTTGGTTGGGGGGTGCTAGGCATTTCCCATTTCCATCGGACGTTGTTTGTTTTGTGCTGATTTTCACATGATTATCCGTCATTTGCATTGCCCGTATGCAATTACAGTTTTGTTAACTTTTACACCCCGGGGGGCTCTCAAATTACAGAACATTATTCCCATTATCAGCTATCACTCAGCTTTTATCCACTCAAATGTAATTGTGCCGGAGCTTTGGCTTTGCATGTGCAAAAATTTAATTGCCATTTAAATTGTTGCTCGACATTTGTGGCATGCTACCCCCAGACGGGAAACACTTCGGAGGCGATCAAGATGCAGTGATTCTTTCAACAGTGCCCTGTCGGCGTTTGATCTCTCGGAAATATCATCAAATAATAATTATATAACCGCATGATATGCCTTGTGTGTCTTGTGATCATTTCTTCATTAAATTTCCAAATGAAATTTATTGCTTTATTATCCATCATTCACTACAAATTCAAGTATTCAAGCAGTGTGCCACTCAGATCTCTAAGTACACGCTGCCTGCTTACCATGTGCTCGAAAATAAATATTAAAAAACTCATTAAAGTCTCGCGGTACAGGTCAGAATAGACTCGAAATGAAATATTATTATTAGGTACTGTCTAATCGCACAACTTAGAAATCTTTCGCTCTAAACCATTGCGTCACAGAAGGCGACCCAAGAGTCTACTCGTACTATACTATGCATACATCAGCCGATGAACACGTTCCCCCCTGGCAAAAGTATATTAATATATTTATACTGCGGAGGGAATGTGTATGTAGTACTCAACTTTCACAGCTGCCGTTGTCGTTTGTCTCCTTGCGGGAAAACTTGCAAAATTGTCAAACAGAGAGCATAAATTTGCCAAAGATTAGAGACAGAACATGGCAATAAATTCACAGAGTTCATTTGACGACTTTTATATTAACCCATTAATGCTGGTTATGTCTTAATAAACACATATATTTGGTCACAGATCACCAGATCACAAAGTTATGCGATGGCTCAGTGGTTTTTTAAATCCCAAATGGATCGTAAAATTTGCTCAGACCACATCGCATCGCACGCATAAAATTGTGTTGAGATTTTGATGTGCAGATGTCAAAATGCTTTTAGCCACAAAAGAAGGAGAAAGCCAACGAGAAAATAAATGATTTTGGTCCAATTTTTGGTACAGGTTAATGAAACATATATGCCATCGGCAGCAGCAGCAGCAACAGCAGCAACAGCAGCAACAGCAGTTGATTGAAATAATATAATCGCGTTTATATATAGATACACAATATGTGGTGGAAATCATAAATTTCTCGTGTATTTTTAGCCCAATTTCAAATTCAAGTGCAAGGTGCTGTCGTCTGCTGACGCTGCCAAAACATTCTATAGATTGACCCTCTGTCAGTCGCACTGTCGTCTCTCTCTCTCTCGTTGCTATTCAGCCGATTTTATGGCCCCATCATCAGACCCAACTGCAGTGTTTTAGTGTGTTCGGCCCTGGGAGCATTTCGTCGACATTGTCGGTCAAGTTGAAGTTTACACGTTCTGTAAATTGTTGCCATTAAAACGTTTGCACTGTGCGTATACTTGATATTAAAATATGACAACCTTTCTCGCATTGCAGTTTGCTGCTCTCTGGGCCTCAGCTGGGCCAACGACTGGGGCTATCCGGACTTGGACGACAATACGGATGCCGGTAAGTAATGCCAATCTGCAGATTGCCATTCAAGTTTATTTGCTAAAATTACTTAATCAACGCCAGAGCCAGAGCCAGAGACCCTCGTGTTTGTGATGGTACGGGGAGTAGGTTACTCGGCCCATTCCCATTGTCAAGTGCTTTGCATATCTACAGACACATTAGAGGTCTATGTACATACGTTCATTTTTGTGTGTGTGTCCGGGTCACTTAACGTGCACGCTCCGGGCTTGAGTCGCAGCTTAGTTAAATTGCGCCAAATTGCTGCGCCAAAATGCAAATTGGACAGAAAACTACGAATATAAAAATATATATATCGTCAATGATGATCAATTTAGGCTGCCTAACTTTCAACAAAAATTCTGCGGAAACCGAATTTCGGGCATAGAGTTATTTCTTCAATTGCATAAATTTTGATTTATGAGCATTTAATTTCGAATAAAAACCGTCGGAATAAGTCTAATAATGGAAATTGATTTGCCATAAGCTTCATTTAAATTTTGACACTGACACATTGCTAATTCCCGTCTGTTGCAAATAAACTCATCAAAATTTTATCCCTACAGCATTTCCCGATTGGGGCGGTCTGTGCGACAGTGGCAAGAGACAGAGCCCCATCAATCTGGAGGCCAAGTGGTCCCTGAGGGGCAAGTTTGATGAATTGAAGTTCCACAGCTACGACACTCATCAGAAAAATCTGGAAATGGTCAACAATGGCCATTCAAGTGAGTGGAGCACCCAATTAATATTTGTGGAATAGTTTCGCTAATCCAAATGACTTTTTTAATAGTACAAATCGATGATTTTGATGATGTACTCATGCTCAATGGTGGCGGACTGGCGCATGAGTACGAGGTGGAGCAGATCCACTTACATTGGTGGTCGGAGCACACCATCAACAGCGTGCGCTACCCACTGGAAGTGCACATTGTGCACCGCAACAGGCTGTACCCAAACATGACGATGGCGACCAACTTTAAAGACGGCATCGTGGTCATCGGTGTGCTCTTTCATGTTTCGAACACACCCAACGAGGCCATCGCTAGCATCCTCAAGAATCTGGGGGATGTGAAGGCCTACAGTCGCGTCAACAAGCCCGTTACGGTGGCCAACTCGCTGGCGGTGAGCGATCTGATGCCAGAATCGAAGGGCAACTACTACACCTATGCCGGCTCCCTGACCACGCCCTCGTGTGCGGAGTCCGTCATCTGGATTGTGCTCACCGAGACGCTTCCCGTGACGCTGGATCAGGTCGAAGAGTTCAAAGAGATCGAGTACTCAAATGGCAAGCAGTTGCACAACAACTACAGGAATCTGCAGAGCATGAACAACCGCGCCGTGGTCCTGGTCGAGGCTGAGGAACGCACAAACGCCGCAGCTGGTCGCACGGCATCGATCGGCCTCATCCTGATACTCGGACTGGCGGCCCAGAAGCTCTTCCTGTAGATGCGGGACTGGAGCTGAGCTGAGCCGAGCCGAGCAGAGATGATGATGATGATGAGGAGCAGCCATAGACATACTCGTACCAAAGAATGCACTGAAGTTCTCTGCAGTGTAGCTACAACGAATTTCTTGAGAAGATATCCATGACAGGACAGGACAGGACAGGGAGAGACGCAGAGTTCAAATACTCATTAGTTATAATGCAGAACAAGTCAGCTAGTCAGCTTATGTTAGATTCATTGAGTGCTAAGTTCACGTAAATATAACAATCGCAATAAAACCAAAATATTTTACACATACGCATACGCATTCACATTCCTTCGATTCGTATCCCCTGGAATGGCGACTGAAACTTGAAAGTGGTCGGCCGCTCGTGTGCTCCGCTGAAAGTTCAAACTGACCAGTAAACCTTTATGGCCAGTATCCAAAAATAGACGCTGAGCCATTGTGTTCCGTTCTTGTGAATATATTATTATATCACAAGACCCCAGGTGTAGTTAAGGAACACTCATATTTTTAGGGCCATTGGTCAGTGTGATTCCTCGAGCGGGACTCTTGGGGTGCGAATAAAAACTGTTATGGCCAAATATAATTTGAAAATCACTGATAATGGTATCGTGAACTGACCAATTGCGTTGCCTGATAACACTAATTGATATTGCAATGATGCTAAATCACACAACAACAACAACAACACAGGCAGCAAGCATCAAGTTTTTATATCAACTTTATGAGCCATGTCGTCGGTCGAGGAATTTGATTTGGACTTATGGTGCTGGCCACACTTCATCATCGTTGTTCATTGTGAAATGACACTTGGACGCACTTAATGTGATTGCAGCCTGTGTCCGATGGGCCATTGAGTTATTGATGGGACAGTAATAATCACTATAAACTGCATGCACAAGCTCAAAAGCAATCTTATCTACCCATATACCCATATATAGTAAAGTAAGGTAATCAGGGTACCGAGACGATAGAAAATGATTTTAAAAGTCAATTTTGCGAGTGTAACACAGGCTATTAAATACAAGTACCTGCAGAGGAATATTGTCTATATTGGCTTTGTAAAAGTTGGCCTTGGTAAAGTCAGAACATCCCTGAGGAAAAAGAAACTAAACAAGAAGAAATACAGAGTGAAAAACAATATCCAATGGCGCATTCAATAATTAACAGAGCTTGATAGCTTTAAATTTGTGTGTGCGAATAGGAAATATAATAACATATTCTATGATTGTGTCCTGCACTTTACAGAGAATATATTTCCTGCACAGTCCAAGTCTAAATATTAGCACATCACAGACACACTGCAACGGCGCCCTGTAATAATGCAATAAAATGATTCCAATTAATTTCCGTGCATTTTTATCTAAATACTTTAATCTAAAGTACTCCTAACTAATCGGTGGCACCGATCCGATTAGGTGTTCAATTTCGTATTCCTTCAGACAAGTACTCCTAACTAATCGTCGGCACAGATCAGATAGGAATATACATTTATTGTTTTTTCTTTTGGACTGAATAATTCTTAAACTGAATAAACTGATAGCATTATCACAAAATGATACGACTACGAAATAAGAATACTGCGCGAGGTCCAACCTTTTCTAACCTGTTTAATCTAATGCTGTCTTATTAATATACGTATAATGACTGAACACATGATTTATGTTTGCATGTTTTTTTGTTTAACCTTAGCAATAAATGTGTCACAGTTAAGTAATTCATTTCTGTTGCATACTTTTTGGAAAAATAAATGTTGCCTTATGATTAATATTGTACTCTGTATTAGTAATCCGCCAAGGGCTAACAGAATGACAGTAAGTTGTGAAAGAGCGGGATGGCCAAACCTTCGGAGCAAGTTTCGCCTTGTCGGAACGACTAAGCTGTTGATCTTAAATAGAACAGAGAACCCTGCCTTGTGGGACTCGGGTATGGATGATTCTTATTTTCTAAGTTAAATATGCGGCCTAGACGAAACCATTTAACTGTAATGTTGTCAAAGTTGAATTTTCTGAATTGAATTTTCTAACAAAGCGGGCGGACCGACCTGGGGAGTAGCCGGACGTGCCACCCACCACCCAGTCCCCTACCAGACTTAATTTTGAATTCCTTCGCTTTCCGGTAGAGGCCGCCTCGTTGACACATAAATGTAAAAATACATTTTCTACACCCAAAATTTATATTTTCAATTGGGGCATACTTTGGGGCAAAAACAATTTTAGAGCGGAAAATTTATACATAGATATTTTGTAGTGATATTAAATAATTAATTTTTGTGCCAAGCTGATGTTTGGATATTTATATTAACTAATTTTTATGGAGGATTTTTTCTCTCTGAAAATATAAAAATGTGCATCAATAAGCCTTGAAGGTCTTGTCAAAACATTGAAGCCTTAAAATGAATCAAATGACGTTGCTTGTGATCCTCGCAATTCAAATGTTTAGAGTGGCAGCTCAAGAGAATTGGCTGGACTTGGATTACACCACAAAGGAGAAATTTTGTAAGCTTCAGCGCACTATCTTATCTGGTATCCAATTCAATGCCAATGTAACTTGCAGCTCAAAGTGATTGGCCGAGTGTGTGTAGAACCGGCAATAAACAGAGTCCCATTGAGGTGATCGAGGAATATGCCATACACGTACCCACGAAGCTGAGCATAGTGAACGATTCCGTGGAACAGCCCCATTTGGCCCTGCTCTACAACGGCTATGTGGGTGAGTCTGGTACTGGGAATAATTGGGAATCCGTTTAATCGAGAGACAAACCTTCCTTCTTCCCAGTGATTATGTACAACTTTACGCACAGCATTCGGCTGAGTGGCGTCATGGAGTTCAGGGACCTGAGCTATGTGGCGGAGCAGATCCACTTCCATTGCGGGGCCGAGCATGTGCTGGAGCACGAGCGCCATGACATGGAGGTGCAAATCGTGTTCCGCAGCGAGTCTGCAGCCAATCTGGCAGAGGCCCTGAACCAGACGAAGGGTCTGGTCATCGTAAGCGTCGTCTTTACGGTCTCCAATGTGCCCAGCCGGGCCATTGCCGCCATTGTGGATACGCTGCGGGGTCAGCCCCTAGTGAATGAGTCCACATGGAAGGGTCAACGAAATGAACTCGATATTCCTCATGCGGGAGCTGTACGGTGAAATAGGAGCCTACTATCAGTATCGCGGCTCCCTGACAGTGCCCGGCTGTGGCGAGAATGTTGAGTGGATCGTCAAGGCCCAGGTGCAGACAATGACACGGGATCAGGTTGGTATTTTCCTGCCTGTCAGCACACATGTAACTTTGGTGTTTTCCACAGATGGACACCTTGTGCCATGTGGGAGCGGGCTACAGTTTGGCCCGGGCTCACATGAGCTATCGCGAGATGCAGGATACCAATACGCGAAGGGTTTTCTACTTTAGAGAAAGCAGCGCAGCCAACATTCCAGTGTACTGGATGAGAGCAGGATTTATTTACACATTTATTTATAGTGCCATAATTTTTTTTATTTGAAGAAACTTTGTACAATACTTTTATACGTTTTTGTCTCTGTGCAGAGGGGATTTTTGGTCATTCAAATAATAATCATTTATAAAATATTCAATATTAGAGAGGAAATTTCAAAGTGTGCAATAATTAATTAATTAATGACTTAAGTACGCTTTGACATTAGTAAGCAGTTAATATCAGTATTTTGGCCATTTAAGTCCCTCTTTCTGTGGCACCAAAGACACGGCTTGGATTCGCTTGAAGCATTAATCAAAAGTACAAATGCTCATTCGATACCCCCCTCATAGATTATGTGAAAACAACTCCCAAAATATATTTCCAATCCCCAGATCGCCCACTCATTTGTCTACATTTATGCTTAAGCCCAAGTTCAAACTGTCAGCTTAAGCCCGGCAAAGACAAAGACAAAGCCGAATTCGTTCCACCTGCCTAAAATAAACAAAAAAATATGCAAAAATATTTGTGAGTTGTGAGTGCAAGATGTTCGTTCCATAATTAATTTTGACTCACTTTTAGGCCAATAATCAAAAATGCATTTGTAATTCTTTTTTTTTTGCGGCTGATAGGCCTCGAAGGGGCGTTTAGCGCCCAATCAAATGTGCCACTGATGGATTTGTATGCGCTGCGGATTCGTAGTCGGAGTTGGAGTTGGATTCGGATTCGGTTGCTAATGCTATGCATAGAAGCGGACAAAGGCCCGCCAATGTCAAAATCTCTCATGGTGTGAATTAATAAATTTAAAAAATAGTTTTGTTACGCAAAATCATAATTTGTATGCCCCCGTCAACATTCACTTTTATGCTTTTGGCTAATGCCGGGCACCCAGTCTAGGTCTTTTGCATTCAATTTACTGGATGGGCATTTTGGCAACCAATTCGATTTGCATAAAATATGCAAAGTGCGGCAACGCTAGACACCCATTAATCAGGGGGGTCAGGTCAACTCTTTTATGGTCAGACACCACTTCATTTCATTTCATACTATATATTATATATTTTAAAAAGCAACTTTCGTCTATGTCTATTAATTAATGACAAAGTAATTCCTGGTTTCGCATTACCAACACGAAATTTATCGTACACTTCTTTGACAGATCTTCTGCATCTTTGCCCCTGCCCTCCCGCACACTCTCAAAATAAAAAGGCAACAAGCTATGGTATCATTTCCATTTGCATTGCTCTGCCTTTTGCTGCTTTTCGTCATGGCTCACGAAATTGGCGTGAGAAAGTGTGAAACCAGTTTTGGTTTACGCTTTTGAGTCAGTCGGCCAACGGTCGGTCAACCCCTATCAGAAATGTGGGCTAACTTATCATCGTGAAGGTTGGCTGCCCCCCCAAATGCAGCCAGTGCACATTCAGTTCTTGCATAAGGTCCGGTACGCGAGTGTGCACATATTTATGAGTGGGTGCAACCACGACTGTCTCTTTAATTCGTCAAAGAAGTTGTCTGAATCGAAATTGGAAAGGAAATGGGAAGCTGCCCCCACCATCTATTGGCCAGCTTACATTCACCCAACAGCAGACGGGCAGCCAATGCCAATTAGCTTTATATGGTAGTCGGATTAGCTGGACTCATTCGATATGCATCTATTTCATTTCTGTTGTTTTTTGTTATGACAACTCATTTCCGTTGGCAGCTGAACATCACAGCCAATTGTCAGGCTGAATCCCCATGCGAGTTGATGCTTTCAGATTTTCAGATTTATTGGCTCACTTACCTTCACTTTTCAGTCAGTGGGCCACCGACCAAAACCGAACTTACGAGTATTTTGTATCACATTTGGCACATTTAGAGCTGACAAATATCCTACGCCCAATCACTAGCAAAAAAAACAACACCTAGACCTTGGCCCTCGTCGAGACAAATGCGAAATACATTCCCCGAAATATTCAATTTACATTTGATAGTTCCAGTTGCAGACAATAGCACAAAGGCGCAGACAAAAGGGCTGATCGGACAAAAGTGCATTTAAAAGCAAGTTTGTAACCTCGTCTCGTATCGGCATCAGCCATATACATATGTATACCCAATGTTTAATATACATATTGAACATCTATAGCGATGTGTATCAATTTGGGTCATTCAACTTCATAGGGGAAAAACTTACAGCGAATTAACCTCTTTAAATGGGATGCAGCAATGCAAACCAATTTATTTTTGGGCTTTATTTGGAATAAGGAATCGAAGTTTACAAAGTGGGAAACAAAAGAAAATAAAATTGAAATTTCTCAGAAATATTTGGATTGTTCCATCATAATTTTGGCAAGTTTTGTTTACCCTTTTTGGGAATATTTTTCTGGTGTTTGAATATTCGCAATAAATTCACAACACATACTCGTATATCAAAAATTATTATCAAAATTGTCACAACTAACAGAGAAACGCCTTTCATGCCATTCTAAACCTGCAATCAATATCAACGTGATGCTGATATTTGGCTCCGTGTCGGGTCACATTTATCCATTTAGTCGCTCGATCTATTTTGGCCTCCACTGACAGATATCTTTCAGTTTGTGTGTGAGCATTGTAAAAATTGCCTCTCGCTCGACCTTTGTTAGGCGTCTCCGACAGACAGACAGCCACACAAAAGCTCCCACTGCCACTTGCCACCCAACCAGGCGTAGATCCAACATCTTCTTTCGCCTCCGTTGCCACGCATAACAAATAACAAAAATAACAAAAAAAAAACGAATGTTGTTTGTGTTTTATGGCCCAAAACTGTTGCAACTCTTTGGTGCTGCTGCCTGTTGCTGCTGTTTCATTATTTGTTTCCGATTATAAACTTGTTATGACCGCAGAGCCGTATAAAAAGAGTCTGTGCCACTTGACCCATCATCACAGCCACTGAGACACACGGACCGAGAGGAGCATCCAGCGTAGACAGCTAACCAGAGCGAGAGACCAAGCCAAGCAGCAGCATGAAGATATTTGTGGTGCGTTTGCCCGTGGATTACCCTACCCAAGTGGACACTAAAGGATTACCTAATCTCTCTCTCTCTGTTTCAGACGGTTCTGATGGGCGCCCTGGCGCTGGCCCGGGCTGACATCAGCCTCACCCAGGCGGGGTACAACTACCGCATCCAACAGCAGCAACAGCAGCAGCAGTCGCAGCAGCAGCAGTTCCAGCCTCCAGTTGTGGCGCATTTGCTCAACCAGCAGCTCCAGCAGCAGCAGCAGCAGTCGTCACATCCGGTGCTGCCGCCTCTGCCACTGCCGTATCTGCCACCTGCCGGCCAGTACCAGTCGCAGGCTGCCGCTCGCCCCACCTCTGCCTCGTTCCCAATGCCAGCTGGATTCCCCATCAATTTCCAGACAGCTCCCGCGCAGCAGCATCGCCGTCCGCGGCCACGTGTGAGGATACCCAAGCGGCCGATCGTCACCAAGAACTTCTTCATCCACTCGGCACCCGAGGAGTCCGACGATGAGGTCCAGGACGAGCTCAACCAGCTGGCCCAGCAGCCGCGCAACCACTACAACGTGCTGTTCGTCAAGACCCCCGCCCAGACGAACCGTGCCGCCGCCCTCAATCTGGCCAAGAGCCTGAAGCAGGAGAAGACGGTCGTCTATGTGCTGGCCAAGAAGACGACGGCCACCGACCTGCAGGACGCCATCGCCGACGCGCCGCAGCACGTCAACAAGCCGGAGGTGTTCTTCATCAAGTACCGCACGCCCGAGGAGGCGCTCAATGCTCAGCGCCAGATTCAGTCGCAGTACGACACCCTCGGCGGCACCTCCACCATCACCGACGAGGGTGTGGCGCCCATTACCTCCGTGGTTGGCTCTCTGGATCCCCAAGAGGAGGACGAAGAGGAGCAGCAGCAACAGCAACAGCAGCTGCAGCAGGGCGAAGGCAACTTCATCGATAATGGCGCTGGCAATAACGGCGGTGGTGCCATCGGCAATCATTATCTGCCCGCGAACCAGTTCTAAGTATTCTTCTCATTGCTCGCCACATCCACCAGATCCTAGTTAGTTAGCTGTCATCCCCCTCCCCCATAGAACATGCACCCAATGTTGTCTAAGTTTTAAGTGTTTGATTTATGTGTAGTAGCATGTGCCAGTGATTCCTCAATTCCTTGCCCATAGCTACCGAATTTTGTATTAAAAGTTGAGAAATTTATGGCACAGTTTTTCGATTGCACAGATTCGTATTTAATATCGCATTCAATTGGATAAGTTTGGTGTTTATTTATGCTACAAGTCAAAGAAGCGAGCCTCGAAGCTGTACTCCGGTGTGCATCGGCTGCAGCCCTCCATTGTGGTGCGTATAAAGTCAAAGTAGAAGGAGATTCTGGTGCCCACAAAAGGATCGCCATTGGCACAGGTCGCACCGAAGCTGCTGAGCCCCGCCAGCTTGTTTTTGTGCACCAGCAGGCCGCCCGATTCCCTGAGGCAATAATCACTGTCCTTGGGCAGGTTCAAGCACAAGTGGCCGGGTGCAATGGGATTGCGGACCCGCTGGTTGAAGTAACTCAAACAGATCTTGTACGGTATGACCCGGTGATAGACGGTGCGCATCTTGTTCGCATCCACGCCCTTGCGCCACGACCAGCCCGTGTGCAGCACGAGGGTATCCCTGGGCAGCGGAGCGCCCAGCACCGGAATGGCCTTGATCTTCCAGCTGAACTTAATGCTCGTGTGCGTGTAGATCAGTGCTATGTCATTCGCCTTCTTGGGCTTGTCAAAGTGCGGATGGGCGATCACGTATTCGATTTTGTAGCTGTGTTTATTCGATGTGCCCAGTATCTGGGTGCCGACGACCATGCGAGAGCCTTTTACTTTAAAGCCCCGCATGCAGTTGGCCGTCGTTACGACCCAGTCCTTCGCCAGTATGGCGCCACTGCACTTGTGCCTCCGCTTTGCATTCTGTATGGACACTTGCCACGGTGACAGATTCCTGGGCGCCACCACGTCCCCAATGCCATCTTCCTCTTCTGCTGAATTGTTCAGGCTGCTTACGTAACGTTTCCATCCGTGTCCTTGTCGAGCCGATATTCCCTGTGCCGCCAGACAGACTAGCAGCGGCCACAGCCACAGCCAACGCCTTGTACTCGTAGCTCCGATCATATTGAGGGTCTGAATGCAACTGAAATGCCACGGAAATTAACCAACCAAATCCAAACCCATTGGCGGAACTAATCCGCAACGAAAGGGGCCAGAAGTGCAAGTTTTGGCTCCATTTTCACTTTATTAAATGCAGTAAAATATGTTTCAAGGCTTTGCCATTTTCAGCTGCAATGTCTGCTGCTCTTGAGCACATTAATTTCCTCCGGATTTCCCTCGGCAATCTCCGCTTCGGATAGACTCAGGTGAGTGCGTATAAAGTCGTGATAGTAGGCGATGGAGGCATGAGCATCTAATGATGAGAACAGGCACAGTGGCTGGCATCAGACACAATCAAGGAAAATAGTTTCAGTTTGACACTCACCTGGATAGCCACGGGCGCAGGGCATGCCCCAATTGACCAGCGCCACCAGCCGCCCATTGTGGACCAGGGGTCCGCCAGAGTCGCCATGACAGGCGCCCCGTCCCTTGTCGTTGTAGGTGCAGACATGGCCAATGTCCACGCGCGTGCTGTTGTCGTGAGCGGCGCGACACTGCTCGTAGGGCACATACTTGACCTCCAGCCGCTGCAGGCGCGTGGGCACGTCGCCGCCCAGCGAGAGAGTGCCCCAGCCGGTGAGCAGGAGCCGGGAGCCGGGCACCAGTGGCTCGTGATCCAGCTCCACCGGCTGCGTGGCATTGTCGAACAAAATCGACTCGTTCAGGTGCAGCAGCGCAATGTCGTTGCGGTACTTGCGCGACTCGTAGTTGCAGTGCTCGACGATCCTGTCCGGATAGTAGTACGTTGTGGCATTCTGCTGCAGATCCTGCGTGCCCGCCAGCACACGGAACGCCGTCGCCTGCTTGCCCCGCGTGCAGTGGGCAGCCGTGATGATCCAGCGCTCATCGATGATGGCACCGCCACAGGAGTGCTGCCCACTGGCGGCGCCCTGCAGCGATATCTGGTAGGGAGCCACGCCCTCGGGTGCCTCCTCGCCACCCACAATTCGAGTGTTTGTGTACTGCGGTGGATACAGCACCTGGCCAGAGACGCAGCAGCTGCAGGCGACGGTCAAAAGAATGCACAGAAACGGCAACATAATGACAGCCACTGAAGTTGGAGCTCTTTGCGGACTGATTCTTATATGTTAGCTATGGAAAACTCTTTGCAGGCCAGTCACGTACTGCGCTGAGTGATACGAGCAACAGCCCGCACTTAATGGAGGTTGAGCTCCTGCTGCGGCAACTCTGGAGCATAAATCAAGTGCCCATTCAATGCCATTTAATTAGTTCTAGCAAACACAATGAACCTCAGTCTTGTAATCTACTTCCCCCCATGCATTCGGCGTGTGATAACACGAGCTTCCTGATACTTTGATTCTATCAAACATTACTGGCCTGGTCATGGGCCTGCCGCTTGTTTGTTTGCTGACTTCGCGTTGAGTCATTTCCAAGAACTGAACTACTGGCCTACTCGTATCATTCCGGATCAGAGCAGCGGCTGACTGGACTTATCTCTGGAGAGCTTCGAGTGGGGGGGGGGATTTCTGTGCAGATGTTCAAAAGTTTGTCAGCGTGGAATTCTGTTTTTCAGAAATAAACAGAAAGTATTTTGGGTAGAGTATGTGAAACGCAATTGCGTTTTGTTTTTTGTTTTATTTGTTCATAAATTATTTAATGGCTACGATATTTGTGTGATAAAATTTACTGGCTACTTTGATCGATTCGCAACCGCCGATTATATGGCAATTGCTATTTTTTGTTCGTCGTGGCTTTTGAACCCCACCCCAGGCCAACCGGTGGGGTGACTTTAGCACGCGGTGCCCGCTGCTGTCATCATCTCATTTATCCAGTCCAGATAGTAGGCCACGGAGCCATACACATCCGGATAGCCGATGGCGCATGCCTCGCCCCAGTTGACGACGCCAACGAGGGTTTGGTTCTCGTCCACCAGCGGACCGCCGGAATCGCCGTGGCAGGAGCCCTCGCCGTCCTGCGTGAACGTGCACAGGTGTCCCTCGCTCAGCCAGTTGACGTTGCGCACTTTGGACTCGCACACCGAATGCTCCACATACTTCAGCTCAATCTTCTGCAGATCGGTGGCGTAGCGTCCCCAGGTGCGGGTGCTGCCCCAGCCGGTCAGCGTGAGCTTGTCCCCGGCCTTGGGCAGGCTGCCCCTGCTGGCCAGCCTGATGGGCTGCGTCAGCGCATTGTAGACAATCGGCTTCGCCGTGTGGATGAGTGCAATGTCGTTGTGATAGGCGGGCTTGTCGTGGCCGCAGTGAACCTTGGCCCCATCCACCAGATACTCGGCGCCGGGCTTGGTGTAGTCATTGCTGCCGGTGACGATCTTCAGGTACTGTGTGGGCCACTCCAGGCAGTGGGCAGCCGTCAGGATCCAGTGCTCCGCGATGATGCTGCCGCCGCACACATGCTCGCCAAAGGTGCTCATAATGGACACCTGGTAGGGCGCAAAACCGTCTGGGGCATCGCTGCCGCCCACCACCCGCGTCTCGGCCTTAACGGTGCCCAGGTGATGCGGCCGCTGATGGCGGCGCACAACTCCGGCGCCCACCTCTCGCGCTGCACACTGGCCGACGATCACCAGGACACTGATCAACAGAAGGAACTTCATCATCTTCGCTTCGAATCTCTAAACTCTTTTTCTATGTGCTCTGCTTGCTTCAACTTTCGACTGCGGTTTGAGCGTGTTCCGGCTCCTCTTTTGCTTTTATAGCGAGCGGCCAAGGCTCTGTGCGAAATTTCCTTATCAACGGAGACTTTCTTTGAATTACTATCTGCGATAAGCGGCCCAGTTCGGGGGAAGCTTCGATAATGACAATTACCATAGCCAATACGCGCAATATTACCTGATAAATAGGCTTTCGGGGGAAAAGCCATTGAGCATTGCTCAGGCAGGTGGCTGGCAGCCGCACAGCACACAACAAAATATTACTCATACGTAACGTAATGTGGGGGCGCACTTTGAACGGAGTGCCCGAACACACTTTCAGTGATCTGCAGACGTAGACGGCTGATAATGCCGTAATCGGTGTCGGCGTCGGCGGCGGCGGCGGCTACCAGTGGAACTTTACTCCACATTCGGCCCGGAATAATTAACAAGCGTTCGAGTGTATATTTCCAACAATCAGCGTGCAGATACAGTAGCTAGCATACCCTCGAAGTTAAGCACATTTCGCTGTGATTTAAAGTCCACAGATAGCGGAAGAGTAAACAAAATTAATTAATAAGAAATTAATTGAACTGAATAAATACTTTTTTTGCATTAGGGGAAGATCTCTTCCAATTGAAAGCAAAACTATGAAAATGGGAAATAGTTTGGGGTTAAATGTAAATTAATCAAATAAATTAATAGAATATATTTCATGTAATAACCGAAATTTTTGTTGCGCTTTTCCAGGTGGTTTACCTTTCCCTCGCGTATAATTTACCATTTAACAAACTTCCCGCAGGCTTTAGGGTATTTATGTCTGTGGACAAAATAAAACCCAACAGCATTTTTTTGGGTGCATAGTCAACGATTCGGACAATTCACTTATCTGCCATGGTTACAACAACTTCGATGATAATCCGTTCAGACGTCTGGTCTAGCGATTGTCACGATTAAGATCCGACTTGTTGCCAATTTTTTGTGTGTCTAAATCATGATTGGTTGCCGTGGTCTTCAGTTCGAAGTAGACTTTAGCCTAGTTAAAATGCTTATGAAGGCTGACCAATCAGTTTGAAAGAAAACAACAACGGGCATGAGATTCAGTTAAATGGAAAAAAGACCCCCAAGGAGAAGACTGACAACAAAGTGACAAACATTTTATTGCTTAGGAAAGGGTGCAGCCGTTGATGGTGGACTGTATCCAGCTGTAGTAGAAGCTAATGCGGGCAAAAACATCGGGAAATCCGTGGCCACAGGGCACGCCCCAGTTGCCGACGCCCACGAGGCGACCCAGGCTGTCGACCAGCGGTCCGCCGGCATCACCGTGACAGGCACCAGCGCCCAGCCGACCGACGGCACATAGATGTCCCACATCCAGATCCTCAGTGCCGCCGTAGGTGGCATTGCACTTCGCCGTGGGCACATAGGTCAGATCGAGCTGCTGCAACTCCCATTCGAAGTCGCCGCCAGCCGTGGCGCTGCCCCAGCCGTACATCGTGAGCTTCTCGCCCTCCACCAGATCCTCCAGCGGGGCAATGGTAATGTTCTGTGTCACGTCATCGTAGGCGAACAGGTTCTGCGTCTTGATCAGGGCAATGTCGTTGTGATACAGCGGCTGATCGAAGTTGCAGTGGGGTATGATCTCCTCCACTGCGTACTCCCAGCCGTCCAGGCCCCAGTCGTTGTACGTGGTGGTCACAACCTTCACGTTGCTCTTGCGCAGGCCAGCCAAACAGCTGGCCGCGGTGACCACATACTGATTGTGAATGATGACACCGCCACAGAAGTGATTGCTAGGCAGGATTGGGCAGGCAGAAAGAAGATTAAGGATTAATTTGGGATGCGATTTTATCAGACAAAAATCCACTGCAGCAAAATGTTAAAAAAAAGAATTAAGGGAAAATTTGGAACACGATTTCGAGGGCGTTAAATTTATATCAGATTTAAGTTAAGTTTGGCAGGATATTGAAGTTGCATTTAGTAGCAATTTGAGACGCTTGAATTATCATTTCAATAGGCATATCAGGAACAGGGGGTTGTTAAATTAAAATAATTAAGAATGCTCCTGGAAAAGATGTTCACAAACACCAGCAGATTGTGTCTCACAAATTGCTTCACTTTAAGTCCAAGCCCACGCAGTTTGTAGCTACTCCTTAATTTTGTAAAATTATAAATAAAATTTGCTAGCTACCCGTAGGAGTTCTGCAGCGACACCTGATACGGTGCCGCCGTCACGTCGGACACTTGGCCGCCCGCGATGCGCGAACTAAACCTGTCCGCGGAGTTGGCGCCAGATGCGGCGGTGAAGGCGCGACGTCGCAGATCCGCCTGGGTGCAGGACACCAGCAGCAGCAGGCAGACAGCCAGAGAGAGTGCTCGGATGCGGCAAGACATGTTGGACAACCAGCAGAAGTTGGACTGATTTGAGGCGAGTGTGGATACCAAGCAGCTAGCCGCGGATAGTGGCATATGCGATATGCAATATACGATATCCAGATATCCAATATACGATATTTGATATATGATGGCTGGCGTGATATTAATGAAGAGGCCATAAAGCCATTTTGCAATCTCAAACATGGGTGACCATAGAAAACCCAGAACTCTGGGCCTCATAAAAATCCCATAATTTTTATTAAATCAGCAATAACACTCAAGAGCAAAGAACTGATAGGTAATATGGCTGGGTGACCAATGTCCGGACGGACTAGCCGATGGTGCAGCCGTTCATGGTGGTGCGGATCCAATCGTGGTAGAAGGCGGTCCGTGCATAGACATCCTGGTTGGAAATTAGTTTCAGCAATTAAACAGCCGATAAAGAATCACAAAATATGTGAACTTACCGGATAGCCGAGAGCACAGGGCACGCCCCAGTTGCCGATGCCCACGAGACGACCCTGGCTGTCGATCAGCGGTCCGCCGGTGTCGCCATGGCAGGCACCTTTACCGGCCGGCAACTGCAGGCACACATGTCCCAGGTCCACGTCATCGGTGCCGCCCAGCTCCGTGCGGCACTTCTCCACCGACACATAGTCGCCGGAGGCCTCCTGCAGGTACCGCTCGTAGGTGCCGCTCGCAGTCGGACTGCCCCAGCCGGCAAAGGTCAGCGTTTCGCCCTCCTGCAGCTCGTCAATGTCGGCCAGGGCGATGCTGGTGGTGTTCTCGTTGTACTCGATGGCTGCGGACAGGTGCAGCAGGGCGATATCGTTGTGGTAGAGCGGCTTGTCGAAGTTGCAGTGCACATGGATGCTGTCCACAAAGTAGTAAATGGCGTACAGGCTCCACCAGTCGGTGGTGCCCGTGACCACAACCACATTGCGTGGCCTCAGGCCCGACACACAGCTGGCGGCCGTCACAATCCATTCCTGGTCAATGATCGCGCCACCGCACAGGTGATAGCCGTACACATTCTGCAGAGAGACAATCGAGGGCCAGCTGTCCTCAGCGGCTGTCGTGCCACCAGTCACACGTCCCTCAGGGCCACTCCTGGCCGTAGCTGCGTCACTGGTCCGATGTCTGTTGATGCCAGCCAGACCCGGAAGCTGTTCGCCGCGCAATCGCAGTGCTTCAGCTGCCTGAAGCATCAGGAGTATCAGACCGAGCAGCCCCGTAATTTTCCACAAAGTTCTCATTGCTGTGCCGTGGAATCGCAACTGAAACGGCTTGTTTTTGTCCACCTTATAATTACAGTTCTAGCAGATCTTATCGGCATGGACAGGTTGGATAATAGGGTACATATTTTATGGGGCCAGGGCGGTACAAGAGGCGATAAGTGGTGTCCCTCGGCATTCATGGTGCCTTGCGGCCTGTGGACATTGTGAGCTGGTCAGCTAGTTTGGCCCGTGCATTTATACACGACTGAGATTTGACAGCTCACCGACCGCGCCCAGTCATCGCGGAATTGAATCAGTTTATGGCCTTGGCTCCAATTAGACCGCGTCCGCGTCCGCCGATACCGATTGGGTTTTATCCTTCCAGCCGTAAAGATATCGCTGCAGGAGGGCCATATAGATTCGGCCAGTGGCCAGTGGTCAGTTGGAAAGACCCGAGCCGAGCGATAACAACGGTTTATATGGTGAATCCATATAAAAACGCCCAGTTGGGTCATACAATTTTCCATTGCTGGTCATTAATTGGTCTGGATCTGTCCCCGTCCATCGTCCGTACTCCGTCGTCTCTCTGTGTCTCTGTCGCGTCGCGTCCATCATGCCCTGGCCTGGTCGTTTGTCTTTAATTTGGCTGCTTCTGCTGGGAAGTTCCATTGACGTCACACTATCGAAACGATTGGATCGTAAACTGTCGGACAACCGCATTGTGGGCGGCCACGAGGCCGAGGAGGCAGCGGCCCCTTATCAGGTGTCCATACAAACAATCTGGCAGACGCACATCTGCGGCGGTGTCATCCTCGACAAGGAATGGATCCTCACCGCCGGCCACTGTGCCCTCGACTACAGCATCAGTGACATCAGGATCGTGGTGGGCACCAACAACCGCCTGCAGCCCGGACAAACACTCATTCCGGACGAGGCACTCGTCCACTGCCTGTACGACGTGCCGCACCTCTACAACAACGACATTGGCCTGATCCACGTGAACGAGTCGATCATCATGAACGAGCGCACCCAGAGCGTGAAGCTCAGCTCGGAGCAGCCACCGGCAGGTGCCACAGTAACCCTCACGGGCTGGGGTGCTCCCGAGAGTGGTTATCCGACCGTGGAACGTCTGCAGACCCTCAACCTGACGATCATCGGTCACGAGGAGTGCCGCCAGGCCTGGGACTACCACGAGGGCATCGACATTGGTCACCTGTGCACCTACACCAGCGCCGGAGAGGGCGCCTGCTCCGGCGACTCTGGCGGTCCGATCATGTGGGAGGGCAAGCTGGTGGGTCTGGTCAACTGGGGACGACCCTGCGGCGTTGGTCTGCCAGACATGTAAGTGGCGCAACTTTCTCCACTTTCGTTTACCAACCCTATAGAATTTCTGCCAATTATCATTTTCCAGGTATGCCAACACGGTTTACTATCAGGATTGGATCCGCAGGACGCCCACAGGCTGCAAGAATCGGGTCAACTAGCATAACGATAAAGAGCCAGATGGAAATGTGAAATATATAAATATATTTATCGATAATAATTGTGATCAATGGACAGCGGGAGGAGGGGACATGGGCAATGACCATTTATTAGCTGGTCATACTTCGCTTTTAGACGGGCAATCGAAGCCTTTATGGATCTGTTTGTACACAAATGCTGACATGACATAAGATATACTCGTTATGCGATCGATTGTACAGGGCAGGGCTGTGGAATTTCAAGCAAGAAATAAATGTTGCTGTAGGAGCGCCATGGAGATTCTTTGGAGACTGATTTAGAATCAATTTACTGGGGGGGAAATCAGAAGAGAATGCAGGCAATTAATTATAAATTCTGAATTCCAGTATTTACTAGATGCTCGATTAGGTTCAGATCGGGTACAATGGGGTACAATTACCAAATTAACCGTACCGTTGCAGTTCTAGAACAATCAACAAAATTTGTTTTTAATTGCCAATGCTGAAGAAACAATAAAAATGGTTGAAAACTTCAAGTTTGCGTCGCTAGATCTTCATTCTAAATCCATTCTATCACAACGAATCAAAAATTCTGCATAAGGTAGTACAATTCTCTTGTCAACCTACTATTTTTTGTGACTATCCGCGCTGCATGTTCCGAGTAAAAATTATAAAAATTCAAAGAGAACCAAATCGCGGTTTTTTGAATTTTTAAAAAAGATTTTTTGGTTATATGGCAAATTTTAAGTATGAGCTAGTGATCTGCTCATCTTGGCCTACAACTTAATTTTTGCCTCGTGCAAAGAACTTTTCAATAATTAAATTTAATACATTATTTAATTGAATAAATAAATAAATAAATTTTAATAAGTAAATAAAATTCAATCTAGTGCAGGAAACTCCAGAGGGAACTGATCTTAAAGCATACTCCACAATAATTCTCAATAATGCTGGTCAGCATTAATTCGTGGCACTGCCTCCCTGGCTGGCCCCTGGGGCTGGCCCTGCGACATTGTCCACATATTGGCCGGTTCCGGACCATGTCCATTGACGCTGGTGTCCCATCGATAGGCCCGCCACAAAATCATAATCAGAGTGCGTCTATATCACTTTATGGTATCTGCTTTATGGCAGAGATACAACAGCGACATCCACTGGAGGAACACCGATTCGATTCCGATTTACGATAAAACACTTACGATATATCCAATCCAAGATTTGCGCCGAGTATAAAAGCAAAATCACGACCCGTGGATACGCTTAATAAGCGCGTACAAATTCAACCATTCACTATGCTGGTTCGCCTGGCACTTGCTACGACGATCCTGCTGATCCTGCTATCCTGCTCGGCGGTCCGGCCAGCGCCATTCGCGTGGCACCGCTGAGCGCCCAGCAGCAGGAGAGGCTGTCCAAGGGGGCGCCGACCACCAGAGCGTTCGAAGGTCGCGTCATAGATGGCACCGACGCGGAGTTGGGCCTGGCCAAGTACCAGATCTCGCTGCAGGGAAGCTACTACCACGATCACATGTGCGGCGGTGCGATCCTCAACGATCGGTGGGTGGTGACGGCGGCCCACTGTGTTTACGGATATAATTTCAGCTACCTCCGGGTGGCCACCGGCACCGTGCGCTGGCAAGAGCCCGATGCGAGGTACTTCGTGGAGGAGTACTGGGTGCACTGCAACTACAACGTGCCCGCCTACTCCAACGACATTGCGCTGATCAAGCTGAACGACTCGATTGTGTTCAACGAGTTCACACAGCCCGTGGCCCTGCCCACACAGCCGCTGGCCAATGGCACAGAGCTGCTGCTCACCGGCTGGGGCTCCACCGTGCTGTGGGGCGACACACCCGATGTGCTGCAGCAGGCATCCCTCACCTACGTGGACTACCCCACCTGCCAGCAGATAACGAACAACGATCCGATGAGCGCCCACTGCCACGTGTGCACCCTGACGTCGGGCGGACAGGGCGCCTGCCACGGCGACTCGGGGGGTCCGCTGACGGCCAACGGCACTCTGTACGGGCTGGTCAACTGGGGCTATCCGTGCGCCGTTGGCTACCCCGATAGCCATGCCTCCGTCTACTTCTACTTGGACTGGATCCGATCCATGATGAACGGACCCTGCAAGAGCTGCCACTGCTATGCCAGCAACTACCCCAGTCTGTGATGTCTGTGATGAACCAAATAAAGCCAGTGTCGGGAATAAACTTCGCATCTTTATTGTACACAAAGTTCTCTAGGCGGTGCACTTGCTGTTGCCGCTGATCCTGCGGCGTATCCAGTCCAGGTAGTAGTACACATTGGCCTGCACATCGGGCAGGCCCACGCCGCAGGGACGACCCCAGTTGACCACTCCCACCAGCTGGCCATCTCTCACCAGAGGTCCGCCCGAGTCGCCGTGACAGGCGCCTTCGCCCTCGCGGGAATAGGTGCAGATGTGGCCCACGCCCATGCTGGTGGTCTGGTTGAAGATCTGCAGGCACTCGTCGAGCGGCACAAAGCCCAGCGTCAGCTTCTGCAGGTTCTCCGCGGAGCTGCCGTAGGCCTCCTCCGCCCCCCAGCCGGTGAGGACGATCTCATCGCCCTCGCGGACAGGCCGCGTGGGCAGCTCGATGGGTTGGGTGAACTCGTCGAAGGTGATGTTCTGGGTGAGCTTCACCAGGGCAATGTCGTTGTGCATGTAGGGCTGGTCGTACAGGCAGTGCATGTGAATATCCGAGGTGTAGTAGACCGCTCCGGGCTCGGCCCAGCGATTGGTGCCCGTTATCACATTCACCAGCGCCGGCGCGAAGGTCTCCACGCAGTGTCCGGCGGTGAGGATCCACTGCTCGTTGAGAATGGCCCCGCCGCAGTTGTGGGCGCCCACAACGGGCTGCAGCGACACCTGGTAGGGTGCAAATCCAATCTCAGCGTCCTGTCCGCCCTTGATGCGGCTCGAGGTCCCAGACTGGGCAGGTCCCACTCCCACCACCCGCTTGGCCCGGCTCTGGCCCGACTGGAGGAGGAGGAATATCAGGCAAGGGTAAAGCAACTGCATCTCGAACGTTTCGAGGGCGCCGCAAACTGAACTGAAGACCCAAAGGTACTCTCATCACTATAAATGCTTTATTTTTATTAAGGGGCTTGTCTTATCGCAGAGGCTTGAATTTTGTTTATCGTTTTTTGTTTTGTTTTATGGTCTCGATAGCCACGATATGGACACGTCCTCGTCTAGCGCTCTGTGGTGGCGTAGCCTCCGCATTTCGTGTTCCCGCCCATGACCTTGCGTATCCAATCCGTGTAGAAGTACGTGTTGGCGTGGACATCCTGCAAAGACAAGACACCCAGAGATTCCATTTGGTTAAAGTTTGCGCTTTGCGGCAGATATTAACGAGCTCTTACCGGTACGCCGGTGCCGCAGGGCCAGCCCCAGTTGACGAGTCCCACCAGATAGCCATCGCTGACCAGCGGTCCGCCCGAGTCGCCATGGCATGCGCCCTCGCCCGCGCGCGAGAATGTGCAGATGTGACCCACATCGCAGTCCTCGTCGTTGTTCAGGGCCGCTTTGCACTCGCGATGCGGCACATACTGCAGCTGGAGAATCTGCAGATCGATGGGTGCGCTGCCCCACAATATGGTGGAGCCCCAGCCAGTGAGTGTCACGTCGGCGCCCGGCAGCATGGGCACCACAGGCAGCGGGATCGGCTGTGTGCGCTCGTTCCACGCAATGGAGTCGTTCAGCTGCAGCAAGGCGATGTCATTGTGCATCAGCGGGTTGTCGTAGTTGCAGTGGATGTGCACGGCCTGGACAAAGTTACGATTCGTCCTGTTATTGTACTGGTTGGTGCCGGAGACAACCACCAGCAGCTGGGGATCTGCGCCCAGGACACAATGGGCGGCGGTCAGGACCCACTTGTCGGCAATGATTGCACCGCCGCAGGAGTGGGCACCGGAGAAGGTCTGCAGGGAGATCTGGTAGGGAGCAAATCCTTCGGGGGCTGCCTCGCCACCAACAATGCGCTGATCCTTGTAGATGCTGCTGCTGCTGGTGGAGTTGCTCTTGATGCGTATGCCTGAAATGCAAGAGAAGGCGCTGATGGCCACTAGGAAACGCAGAGCCAATGCTGTCATCTTGGGTCAGTGCCTGGGCAGCTAATGACAGTTGAAAGCTCGGCTGGAACTACTTTTCCTTTGCCACTTATCAAAGTCAGATATATGTTTATGGCTGCGATTGGGCGAATCGGAACCGTACCTTTGGTCAGGCCACTTTGCTTTACGATATCAACCAGAAACGCCGAAGGGTACCTATAACCAAAAACCTATCGGCTATCCAAGCCCAGTCTTTGTTTGGATATCAGCCATGACATTGCCACGATTTGTCGTCGCACTCTGCCTAATCGCTGGACTTCTGAGTGGCATTTCTGTGGCGACGCCAGAGCAGTTCATAGTGGGTGGACAGAATGCCGCCGAGGGCGATGCCCCGTACCAGATCTCGCTGCAGACGCTGCCGGGCAGTCATCTGTGTGGCGGAGCCATTGTCGCGGAGCGCTGGATACTCACCGCTGGACACTGCGTGAAGGGTTATCCGGCGGACAGGCTCCAAGTGGCCACTGGCAGCATTCGCTATGCGCTGCCCGGCGCCGTATACCATCCGGAGTCCATTTACCTGCACTGCAACTACGACACTCCCAAGTACCACAACGACATTGCCCTGCTGCGGCTGAACGAGAGCATTGTCTACGATGCACTGACCCAGCCCGTGGCTCTGCCCACTGCAGCCTTTCCCCAGGGCACAGCGCAGCTCCTCTTCACTGGCTGGGGCTCACAGTCGGCGGCTGGCAGCCATCCCGCTCAGCTGCAGCGTGTCCAGCAGCAGCACATCACCAGCCCGGTGTGCGCGAGTCTGCTCGCCGCCTACGAGGATGTGCAGCTGGGCGCCTGTCATGTGTGCGCATATCGGCAGACGAACATTGGAGCCTGTCACGGCGACTCGGGCGGACCCCTGGTGTACGAGGGCATCCTGGTGGGCATCCTAAACTTCTTTGTGCCGTGCGCCCAGGGGGTGCCCGATCTATTCATGAGTATCATGTACTACAGGGACTGGATGCGGCAGACCATCAGCGGCAATGGAAAATGTGCCGTGGTCCATGAGCAGCAAATTGGCTAAATAAATATAAGAAAAAAAAATTCGTTGTGAATGCGTTCGTTTTGCTGGCAGACAGACAGGCAGGCAGACAGGCATTCAGAATATCAGACTGAGTCATCCCCCTCCCCCAACTGATTTATGTCAGCGATCGAGATGGGGAAATGTCGCCCATGCTGCACGTGTGGGGCTGAGGCTGCTCTAATTAGAATCAGGTAGAGGGCCCAGACAACCAGCCATCTCTTAGTCATGCTCTTGCAGGTGGAGGAGAATAACGCTCATGCTGATAGAAATCGCTCACGGATCTCGAGAGTAACGAGTGGCGGCGCATGGAAATTCTGAAAATATTTCTTTTCCGCGCTCGCCATTCAGCTACCAAAAACAACAACAACGGTGGAGGAGCGAGGAAAACACTCATTCAGTTGTGTATCAGTTGTATCTTGGCATTTTCGAAAAGATTCTTTCAGTTGCTGCATTGACTTGGACGTGTGCGGTGCGGGCCTCGAGTTCTGTTCTCCTTAGAATACGCGGCGTATACGCAGTGTCCATATAGTACTACTCATATGTAGGCGCGTGTGTCGTACATTTTACATATACATTTGTATATTTTATATATATATTCATAGAGAGATAGAGAGCAAAAGAAATTTCGCAATTTCTAACAAGTCATTGGGAAATTGGTGGAAAAACAAGTGAAAATGATAAAGTATGTGAAAGAATGTCTCCAATAAAGGCAGTTGCGTGATGAAATATCTATAGCCGATATACACACATATATAACCAACAAAATGTGATGAATAATACTCTACAAATACATACATACGTACATACTCGTGTGTGATATATGCATGCATAAATATAATATATTCCGTGGACAAGCAAAGCCAAAATATTTCATGTCTGGCTGCTTATGCGAGTATTTTTGTGTGAAATATGGCGTACATTTTGTGAGATATTTTGCGTGATGCTGGCCACAGTGCGATGAAGGGTCGCCTTTCCACTGGACCCGCGTGTGGAGTGCCTTTAATTGTTTTGGCTGTGAGACCCATCAAATGCATTTGTCTGCCCATAGCCAGATGTGATGTTTACCTTGCTGCTGGTCTTATTTTAGCATCGGTCGCACGCTCTGGCGCACCTGAGAAATTCGGAAAGCTAGCATCATTTTCTTTAGATTTTTTATTCTATTTGAAACACAGGCAACGTATTCAATAGAACAAGTTTAATTTTATGCCAAAGCATTCCTCGCTTTGCCGCAGGGTCCTCCAAGTCCGCCAAATGGGTGGGACGCGGATGGAACTGGTGTGGGTGTATCTATCCCTCAAACGAAACTGCTATTTCGTTAGAGTAATTTCACGCCTTTAAACTTTTTATCTGAGAAATTAACTATCAAATATTGACACAAATGCTTGATCCAGTTTGCGATGTAAATCGCTAATTACCTCAATAAAACATTTGGGCAAATCTTTAATTTTGTGTTGAATAAATTTGTTAAAATTTGTATTTGAGTGTGAGGAACACGAACATATCGCATACTTCAGTTTGTAGCAGAGACTCAGATCAGATAAAATCAGATGGAACTTTTTCATCTAGAAACACTGGGGTACAGGCATAATGAAACCACTTATACTTATACTATACCCCTTAAGTTAGAAGACCAATAAATGTACATATATGTGTACACATGTACAAGTGTTTACATATTCCCCGCTCCACTGGACTCCACAAAAATGTCCTACAAATGTTTCTGTTTTGTACCTTTAGTGAGGTTCAAGCCACAAAAGAGAATTCGCTAGAGGCAATCGGCTTATGGCGTCCACAAGACACTGATTAGTCAGAAACTAAAATTTCTATCACATTTGCAGCTCAATATTTATTAATAAAAGAAGTGTAATTTTTGGGCATTGCGTACAATATTGCCGCAAGGTCCACCAATTGGATTGTTTCCACATGGTCCAGAGGTAACAGCGGGCGGCGCTGAAGTAGTTGTATCGTAGCTCTGTTCTGTCGTTGTCTCCCATACAGTTCCCGTAGCGCCGACGGAGCATCCAGCCATGGCACACAGAAGTAAAAGGACTATGAAGAACTTCATTGTTCTATCTTTCGATTAAAACTGATATTTTCGCAGAGCAATTGGGAGATTTTATACATTAAATTTCTTCTTGGAAGCCAAATATTGATACAATTGTAACCGTTTGCGTGGATTGACAAATATTTATCGCTGTATTCTGCTATCTAATTATTGTACTAGGCAAAACTCTCAAAATTTCTTTTGTTTAACATTTCTATGTTGAAATTCTCTGAGATCCCGCTGAGTTTTTGTTAATAGAATTCCATTTATTTTCGGGCGTACAATATTTAAGTAGCAGATACATAAGAAAACGGCAAGAGAAAGGGGGAAATCGTACACACGTGAAATGCCTTGGCGGCAATGGGGCGTATGCGGAACATGAAAAAGTAACAGCCGAAACAGCTGTTGGAAGAAATTCATAAATTATGGCATGAATAATTATGCACAATAGAAATTAAATTTGTTTAAAAATACACACACGTGTGACCACTGGCCATTAATTAATTTTGGACATCCAATCATTCGAATTTGTGTAGAAAAAAATTGGTTAAGATAAGTAGTGGATCCTAGAAGGATCAGAAACGGCTACACTTTTATTTTGTTTATTTTGATATATTTTAGTATTTAGATGGTTTGTTAAGCCATCTTAAGATATTGATGGCAATCAGTCTTTGCGCCGGAATCCAGCATTCCAATCACGTAATCAAAATTTAATTTACGATATTTTTATCGCGCTCTCAGTGTTCTGCCTTATATTTTATCTAGCAACAAAAGTCTTTCGGCCCAAGCGAAATAAAATCAAAGAATTTATGACAGCTGATTGGCCCGGAGAGTCTTAGTCATATCCTAAGGCGAAACTAGCCACAAGAACATGATGGTCATACCCTTTCAAGGGGTAATATAATTTTTACCGAAAGATTGCCTGCCGAAGGAGGAATCCATTTATTCATCCATTGTTTATAATAAACAAAAAATACGATTTAGGAAAGACATAAAAAGTCCTCTTGATGGTAGTCGAGCTGTAAGGGTATATGCGTTTCGGCGTGTCAAATTTTGTTGATTTTTTTCTCTTTAATTTAATTTGATTTATGATTTTGATTTTAATATACATATATGTACATATACATATGTACATATGTCTGCCAAATTATGTTGCATGGTGATGAGTCAACTGGCGGGGGAACACGGAATGCGCATTGCACTTGGGGCGACCGCGACCGCCAACAACAGTGGCAACAAATGAAGCATGGCCAGGAGGCACTTTCAGTTTTGGCCAACAACAGACAAAGAGACAACGTCTAATCGGATGAGTAGTTCTATGAATAGAACACCAACAAAATCAGCTGCGCGCTGAAAATCACATTCGTGGGACAGAGCGATGGGTCAGGGGGACCGCGAGGGGGGCGGGGCCAGAGCAGCAACGCGTCGCCAAAAACCTGCCAAACAGAGTCAAGACTGCAGTCGACGTCCGCGTTCGCGTCGACGTCAAAGTCAACGTCACAAGCAATACCAAAAACACAACACAAAGCATAAAGCGAAACAAATATTGAAGAAATTATGTATTGAAGATGTTATACAGTCGGGGATGGTGACATAGGTACAGGCAAGGCAATGTTGGTTTCTGCCCTCTTGCTAATTAATAGTAAATATATAGTTAAAATATGGTAAAAATATATTTGGAGACCTATTCCCCTAGGGATACTTATTTTTTTTAAGTATCAAAGGATCCTTCATCATGTACCTAGTTTTCCCATAAAAAATTACTTTTTTAATAAAACAATTGTATTTTAATTTCCTAAATAAATACTAAAATTTATACATATATTTTATAATTTTAAATCAATCAAATTATCGTAGTAGTTGTTATGTATTCCACATAATCACCCATGTCTCATTCCAAAATAAATCCTGCTGTGCCTGTACCACCTGCGCCCTATACTCATATCCCCTGCTGTATGATTCTTCTGAGCAAATAATAATAAAGAAAAAAAAGCTGCGCGCGTTTGGCTGCATTAAAACTTTGAGCAAGGAGGCGCAAGCAACTCAGTCGAGTTGAAAATTTGTCGCGACCAGCAGTACACATTACAACGTCGGTGACGACGCCACAGCCCCAACCCAACCTAAGACAACAGAACGCAGAACCCAACCAAGTGGAGCCGAGGCAACGGCATACCAAACGCGCGCAGCTCGTGCAAATTATTTTCAAAAACGAAAATTTCTCAAATTTGTTTACGAAAAAAGAAAACTCATTAGAGAATTGCTCTTACTGTGTCTGTGTGTGTGTGTGCGCCGTGTGTGTTTTGTTTGTGAGAAACGTGCTCGACCTGCCAGGCATTGTGTAATTAGCGGGCAATCAAGTGGCAAACATCAGTATTAGCCATCAATCTTCGAAGTATTACCAACTTCAGATCATTCAACAAACAATCCACCGTCAGCATGGCGTCCAGAAAAGTGAGTTTGGATGGGGTGCCTTGTCCTTTCTTCCCTCATCCCTCCTGCATTTTCCCCCACACAATTTTCCATTTGGGGATAGACTCGTGCGAGCCAAAATGGAGGACATGTGGCTTTCATTACCTTTTCATAAAAACACACAAAATATTTGTCAATTTATTTTTAGTCGTAGAGACGCAGCCAATTTTGGGCTCAGCTGTGCCTGCTGCGGTGTGTAAATGTTGTGTGTAATTTTAGTCTCAAATAAATTCAAATTAATTAAAATGGAAGTGAAAATTTATTTAGCATTTCATTGGGTGCTGATTCACGCCATGCCCCCGCGACAACGAGCCAGCCAGCCAGCCAACGATGCAAGTGGCGCCTCACGTTCAATAGTCATCGCAGTCGCAGTCGCAGCCTGGCTACTGCATTTGGTCCGGTCCGAATGGAACGTATATATTTCCATATTAGGGCATACAATAGGTGAATGGGTGACCGAGTATGGGGGTCCCAAAGCCAAAGCCGCACTCCCTTGTGGAATGTC